CTGCTGTCTCGCTTTCAATTACTTTACCGCCAAACCCCTATCATTTTGTTCATTGCTGCCGTTGCCGTAGTCGTACAGATACAATGAAGAGAGATGTGGCCCTCGACTTGGTTATGAATGCAAGCTCGCTTTGGTTCGGGCATACTTGCGGGCTTGAGTCGCTGCATGCATGCTAGACAGCTTCCTGCTCTTAAGGAGCTGGGTCGGCATTGCCGATAAATGTCAGACTAACCCGGCATGCCAGCAGAGAATTGCTTGAGGAACCGAACTGTGCTGAACCAACCCCATCACATCATCATGCCAATCTGCTGTTGGTGATGACTAGGCGGATCATGGCGATAAGTGCGGCGATAGGAACAAGAAGAAGAACAGAAGGAGACAGAGTACCACCCTGGGAGCAATGAAATTTTGGTACAGTCCATGACCTCAAACCCTGAACTTCAGCTTCAAAGGTCGGCATTCCGAGCGGGTGGGCCTTGGCTTGGCCAGGACCCGTGCCCGCAAGCAGATCGACGGCTTGATGGTCGAGGGGATTCGGGGCTTCAGTTGGAGGGCTCACAGGGTTAGACGATGGATGACGAGGGGATGTTCGCAGGCTATGTTCGGGGCGGGGCAGCAGTGCAAAACGTCAGCAGCCCGGCCCTTTTGCTTGTCAGGCTCGCGAGTGAAGGATTCGGCCACAAGCATATGGGAGGTCGTGCTGGCTTTTGCATCTAATTCGGTTTTACTGGTTCCGGGATCTTGTGGCCTTCAGGATCCTTTTGCACCAAGGCCTTCCGTAAATGACTAGAAGTTGCACTCCTCGGTGGCAATGTAATGCAATCTAGTCTAGTGCAATGGACTATGAGGTATGCATGCGCCCATACCTTGCCATATTCTGGCTTGCTCGCTCTGGCTTCTGCAAAAAGAAAGCGGAGTGACAGACGGCCTGAAGACAGACCCGGGGCTGGGCCTTATTCAGCACAGCAGCGTCACAGTGCCTCGTTCGTCCGAGGACACCTGAGCACCCGCGGCCTTGCATTGGGCTCTACGATTGGAACTGGGGTTCACTGCTTGCTTTTTGCGGTCCGGGCCCCAGTTCGGCAGCTTTTTGGTGCATGTCTCGGATCGTCTTCTGAACCCGTCCGAGAGCAGAGGACAGATTAAGACTGCGCGGAGCCCGGGCTTCCAGGTCTCCCTGCCCTTCGTAGTACGTGGTCCTATGGTAGAAATTAACCGTCTTGCAGTGGTCGCAAGAAGTTCTCCGAGACGGCAGCCCCGCACGAGGCTGAACCATGGCTTCCAAACCCTGAAGTTCTGCCCATCCATAGCTCCAATCACGGCAAAGCCCCTCGCTGTGAACTCTTGTCAGCCTTGAGAACCCTTGAAGCTGTTTATCATAAATCCTCAGCTCCACAACGACAACAGCTTAAACCACAATGGGAGTGATCAGGTTATGCTTTGGAGCACTAACTGGCCTCGAATGGCACGGATGGCACGGGAGCGTGTGCTGGCAAAACCTTTGATCCAAATGGACGAGCGAGTCTTGCCTACGCTTTTTGGCCTTGGGCTCCAGGTAGAAGGTTGACATCTCCAGGGTTCAGCTAGGCTTCACGGCTTAGAGCTTCAGCGGCTCCAGCACATCTGCAGCTATGACATGCGCATCTGCAGATGGGGCACGGTACTCTCTGATTGTAGGACAAGGGGCTTTGGCGTGTTCGCTAGTTGCGCGCGTGGGATAGAGGAAATTTGAGCATTGTTGTGATGTTTGGGTTCAGGGCCTTGGGTGTGGGATGAACGTGTCAGGGGCCTGCGTGAAGTTCGAATTGTCCCGACTCCGACTTGCCACGAGTTCTGCCGAAAGGTGGCGAGCACAACTTCCACGAGACAAAGTAGGTCTCATGTTAAGAATGAAATCGCTGCACCCGGCTACAACATGTACCATCATTTTCCACGCCCTCGACAAGCAAGCTTCTGCACGCACGGGGCCCACGAGTGCACCAAGCTGAACACTCCCAGGACGGGAAGAAGGCGGCACATGTGCTGGAGGATGAGACCATCTGACGCCTGAATTGGAGCTTCTTTTTCGCGACCGTGTCGAATCCTTTCGCCGGCTTTTTGAGTGACGTTCAAGTTCAAGCCTCTGCAGAAGCTCAAAAAGCCGGAGAAAGTTTCCCTCCCGTCCCGCACTGTGGCATTCCTGCTCTGCAAGGTCAGGGCAGGTTGCAGTTTTCAGCCAGGGCTCTGGCATGGGCTTTGCAAGTGCAAGGTGCGATCTGCGGCTGAGAGCCCCAAGGCTTCGCAGAAAAAGAGTACATGATGGAAACCTACGACTCCCGCTGGAACACCAGGCTCCAGATAAATTTGTGTAGACGCTGGGGCAGCAGCACTGACCCCACCCAGCACTGACGAAGTAACGCACCCGTTCGCCTGAGGCAAGAGCAGCCGCTGCAGCCAGAGGTCACTATGACTGTAGTCGTGTTTAGCGAGATTGTGGGGAGTGCCAAGGCCTAGCAGTGTAGATCGAGCATATTCAGCCCCAGTCGAATTTCGGAGGATCATTTAGGCCCTATGTTTCTGACTTCTTTAATGGACAAGTTGTGTGGCAAGGATCACGATGAGAATGAGAATCAGCACCACCAACAGTAGCAGCAGCAAGAGTCTACGGGAGAGCCCTGCTCGTTGTCGTCATGCAGTTCAGTTCATCCACGTCTAAAGCCCACTATCACGTGTCCAGTTGGGACCCCGTCCGTGGACCAGAGCATCCATGTTAGGATAGGGCGACGCTCAGGTTTCCATTTTGAGGATCTCCCGTCTGAAGATATTGAGTTTTTTGGGCTCATGCTGCACCAGGGTCTGCTGCGCAGCTTCTGAACGCTCGTCTGGCACAGCTTGTGGCGGCTTGGCGACTCATTTGTTTCGGTATCAGGAGGTGCATTTTGCAAGATGTTGTGTGTGGCACAGGTAGGGACGGCTTCAGGGCGGACCGCGTCGGAACTTCCGCAAGCACCTGTTGAGTCGAACATCGTGATATAGGGTAGCTCGCCCTCCCGGGCATAAGGGCCCACCAATCCCATGCCCAGGATCCAAACCCGAATCCTTGACTTTAAGCCGAGCTTCGCATGCTCTGAGAAAGTTCCAAGCCGTCTTCCCTACTCAATGCTGAATCCTAAACCCCCTAAAATCAGAACGAGAAGTGTCTGGACCCCACTAGAAAGAGGCCTGTGAAACCCGCCAAAACCCCAAAGAACCAGCTTGCGAAACCACCAGAACCTAGACCCTAAACCTTCAACTCGAAGCCCTAAAGCTTATTGGCTGTAAACTCAACTTTTCAGCTTTTGGAGTTCCTATAAGGTAGTCGATTCTGATAGTTTCAACTTTTATTCCCGTGGGTTTTGCCTAAGCCCTAAACCCTATACACCTTAAACCTTAAAACTAAGCCCTAAGCCCTAAGCCCTAAAAGCAGCTGCCTGCGAGGCATCGGGTGCCTGGGCCTCGGCTTTGGTGCTGTGGCGCCAGGCTCGCGAGGACAGACAGAGGCCTCCGTCGATCTCGTCTGTCTAAGGGGCTTCTAGGGGCTTAATCGGGTCAAGTTTAGGGTTTAGGGTTTGCTAAGGCTGCTAAGGGTTCCAGATAGGTTTTATTTCGTTCTTTCACGGCTTAGTTTAAGGGTTTAGGGTTTGGGCACTTGCTCGGGTTTCGATTTCGGGTTTAGGGTTCGGTTTGTCGGTTTTGGAGGATTGAAGTCTTGAATGATTCATTTATGGCTGGCTTTCGTAGGGTGTTACGGGAACGGGTTCGGGTTTCAGTGTTCGACCATGGAGCTTTAGAGGTTTAGGGATCGGGTCTGAGGTTGCCAGGCTGGCTTCACGGCATCATCATCAGAGGTTCAGGACTTGAGGCGGAGTTTAGGATCTGCTAGGATTTCCGGCTTTACGACTCTTCGGTCTTCGCTGCTTGCAGCACCCTTCAACATCGCAGCGGTCCCGAAGTTGCACCCATTCTTAATGAGCGGTCTTGGTAATCCATCAAAATGTTGGCAGAGTGTTTGGCTGTCGGAGGCTGGATGTTGTGAGCTACAACACCGCCATGCATATGCACGGGTATCCTGCTCAGCGGTTTTCAAGCCTGGAGGAACGGACCTAGCATTCAGAAAGCCCGCCCCACCCAAGAGCAAAGCTTCTGTGTGCATTTCTGGGCCCGGGGTGTCAAAGCGTGAAGGCAATCGCCAGACCGGGGGAAGGCAGGTTTGGAGGTACGAAGAAATATGCCTGGGGGTTTGAGGAGCAGATGAACAGGTCACCGGGAAGATTCTACGGGAAGGTCTGATCAGTAGGTTTGCGGTCCGCGGATCCCCCACATTCGGGTTTAGGATTGGCCCTGCTACTACTAACCTACTGTAGAGGTGGGCCCTTTCAGGCCCCATAAAAGTCTACTCGAGTATACACCCAAACCTTACTTCAATCTTCAAGGCCGCTAAACTGCACTTGAAGCAGCGCCACTTTCTGCCAAGTCTGGCGGGACTCTGGCTTCAAGCAGCGCAACTGCTGGAGGCAATTCTGCATTCTTCTGAGCCAAAAGTGTTTCTTACTTTGATGAAGGTGGGGGACGCTTTTAAGGCCTGGGAGGAACTTGTGGAGCTGACAGGAGCCTCAGCCCGGACCTCTGCAATGTACTTTTCCCCAATGACCTACTTACCGGAACCTGAAAGAGTGCTCACGACAGGAGCTCGAGACAGATCCGGGTGTGAGCCTGGGTTGTTGTTTTCATGTTAGGCTAGACCAGCGGATGCGATAGTGTCATGAGCAGTTTGCTGAGCATGGTTTGAACTTGCAAGATTGGAAGGCACTGTTCCCTGAGCCATAAGGCTTGAGACCCAACATCCGCAGCTTCAATACGCAGCTTGGCACAATCTTCCAGCTATCGGTAGACTCATGCTCGGCCCGGCATGTGATCGTCTTGTGTTCATATCTTTCCCTGTGTTGCATCGAAGCTAAGGCTCTTGGCTGTCTACGAAAAGAATGGGGCCCGGGCCTCTGCCACAGCATGCTCAACTCGTGTACATGTACTGCTTTGTCCCCAACGGGCATGAGGCATCAGGCTATTGAAGGCTGAAAGCAAGCAGGAGATCGCGCTAGTGGCGCAGCCGTCCATGGCAGCAGCTTCATACCGTCTGCAGCGACTCTGTCCCCAGGGTCCGGTGAAAGAATGCACGGAGACATGAGAGCAAGAACTGACTTGTCAAACGTACTTCCCACAGTAGATTATGATTATGCGTGCATTGTTCACTGCGTGTTCGTATTGTCGTACTACGGAGCCCACTGCTTCTTCGGGCTAGCCTGACCCCTAGCTTCTGCCTGGTCGCAGTCATGGCGGCGGCAGCAGTGGCACCCACCCATGTGGTTCATCATGACACAAGTCGAGCTGCTGTGTCGACGACCGCCCTGGGCGTGTGCATACTTCGGGCCTGGGAGTCGAAGAAGCCGGAGGAGCATCGACTCTTCTACGATCCGTTCGCCGCCATCATCTGTGGCAGTGACAGCATGGAGCTCCCCCTGATGGAAGAGGTCGGGAAAAACAAAGACTTCTGGATGGACTTTATAGCGGTGAGGACCCGCTGGATCGATGAACAGGTTACTGCTCCCAGCACGGAGCAGCTCGTGATCTTAGGTGCTGGGATGGATACTCGCGCCTACCGCCTGAACGGGTTGAAGGGGACCCCGGTTTTCGAGGTTGACTTCCCCGAGGTCTTGTCAGCCAAGGCGCTTCGCCGGCACCGGAATGACTAGGAATCGCAACCTGTTCGTGGGAATAGAACCAAAGCACTAATGCTCATATACCATTGAGGCAAGAAGTACAGGTCGGACAGCGAGCAACAAAAAAAAGAGGCCTTCCTGGAAGAATGCTCTCCCGATCCTTGCACCGTTGAAGAAGTTGGCAGGCAAAGCTCCTGGAGGGCCACGAGCCACAAGCAAAACTGACCAATGTCATGGCAAATTTGAGCCTGACCCTGGGCAGCCTGGGCCATCCTTGCTTCAATTCAGACGGGATCAGATCTCAACTAAGATTCGAGATGTACACGTCTGTAGCTTCAATCGTTGAGGGCTTCTACGAAGTCAAAGTCTAAGTTGTTCTTGCTGAAAGTCACCCGGAAAGACTACGGACCCAGTTTTACCCATGGCACTTGGTCTCGACGCTCTGCCACCTGTCAAGAGTCAAAGCCCGCGGGCTGTGCCCATGCGGACCTGTACTTCAGCTACATACAGTCGACCCCGTGGGCTGTGCCCATGGGGACATATACTTCGGCTACATACAGTCAACCCCGCGGGCTGTGCCCATGCGGACACATAAAGACTTCAGCTACATACAGTCAACCCCTCGGGCTGTGGCCATGCGGACATATACTTCAACTACATGCAGTCAACCCCGTGGCCTGTGGCCATGCGGACATATACTTTAGCTACATACAGTCAACCCCGTGGCCTGTGGCCATGCGGACATATACTTCAGCTTCATACAGTCAACCCCGCGGGCTGTGTTTTTGCGGACATATACTTCAGCTACATACAGTCAACCCCGTGGGCTGTGGCCATGCGGACCTATACTTCAACTACATACAGTCAACCCCGTGGGCTGTGGCCGTGCGGACATATACTTCAGCTACATACAGTCAACCCCGCGGGCTGTGCCCATGCGGACACATAAAGACTTCAGCTACATACAGTCAACCCCGTGGGCTGTGCCCATGCGGACACATAAAGACCTCAGCTACATACAGTCAACCCCTCGGGCTGTGGCCATGCGGACATATACTTCAACTACATGCAGTCAACCCCGTGGCCTGTGGCCATGCGGACATATACTTCAGCTACATACAGTCAACCCTGCGGGCTGTGCCCATGTGGACATATACTTCAGCTACATACAGTCAACCCCTCGGGCTGTGCCCCTGTGGACATATACTTCAGCTACATACAGTCAACCCCGTGGGCTGTGGCCGTGCGGACATATACTTCAGCTACATACAGTCAACCCCGCGGGCTGTGCCCATGCGGACACATAAAGACTTCAGCTACATACAGTCAACCCCGTGGGCTGTGCCCATGCGGACACATAAAGACCTCAGCTACATACAGTCAACCCCTCGGGCTGTGGCCATGCGGACATATACTTCAACTACATGCAGTCAACCCCGTGGCCTGTGGCCATGCGGACATATACTTCAGCTACATACAGTCAACCCCTCGGGCTGTGCCCATGCGGACATATACTTCAGCTTCATACAGTCAACCCCGCGGGCTGTGCCCATGCGGACACATAAAGACTTCAGCTACATACAGTCAACCCCTCGGGCTGTGGCCATGCGGACATATACTTCAACTACATACAGTGCCCATGCGGACATATACTTCAGCTTCATACAGTCAACCCCGCGGGCTGTGTTTTTGCGGACATATACTTCAGCTACATACAGTCAACCCCGTGGCCTGTGGCCATGCGGACATATACTTCAACTACATACACTGAACCCCGTGGGCTGTGGCCGTGCGGACATATACTTCAGCTACATACAGTCAACCCCGCGGGCTGTGCCCATGCGGACATATACTTCAGCTACATACTGTCAACCCCGCGGGCTGTGCCCATGCGGACATATACTTCAGCTACATACAGTCAACCCCGTGGGCTGTGCCCATGCGGACACATAAAGACTTCAGCTACATACAGTCAACCCTGCGGGCTGTGCCCATGTGGACATATACTTCAGCTACATATACAGTCAACCCCTCGGGCTGTGCCCCTGTGGACATATACTTCAGCTACATACAGTCAACCCCGCCGGCTGTGTTTTTGCGGACATATACTTTAGCTACATACCGTGAACCCGCGGGCTGTGCTTGCGGACATATATACTTCAGCGGCATAGACTCAAGCCCGCGGGCTGTGCCCATGCGGACATATACTTCAACTGCATACAGTCAAGAGTCGTGGTGTCCCGTGGCCCATGCGGACATATACTTCAGCTACATACAGTCAACCCCGTGGGCTGTGCCCATGCGGACATATACTTCAGCTTACATAGAGTCAACCCCGCGGGCTGTGCCCATGCGGACATATAAACCAGCTACATACCTGCGGGCTGTGCCCATGTGGACATATACGTCAGCTACATACAGTCAACCCCTCGGGCTGTGCCCATGCGGACATATATTTCAGCTGCATACAGTCAACCCCGCGGGCTGTGCCCATGCGGACATATACTTCAGCTACATACAGTCAACCCCGTGGGCTGTGCCCATGCGGACATATACCTCAACTACATACAGTCAAGCCCGCGGGCTGTGCCCATGCGGACATATACTTCAACTGCATACAGTCAAGAGTCGTGGTGTCCCGTGGGCTGTGCCCATGCGGACATATACTTCAGCTACATACAGTCAACCCCGCGGGCTGTGCCCATGCGGGAGTCATATACTTCAGCTACATACAGTCAACCCCGCGGGCTGTGCCCATGCGGACATATACCTCAACTACATACAGTCAAGCCCGCGGGCTGTGCCCATGCGGACATATACTTCAACTGCATACAGTCAAGAGTCGTGGTGTCCCGTGGCCCATGCGGACATATACTTCAGCTACATACAGTCAACCCCGTGGGCTGTGCCCATGCGGACACCTAAAGACTTCAGCTACATACAGTCAACCCCGTGGGCTGTGCCCATGCGGACACCTAAAGACTTCAGCTACATACAGTCAACCCTGCGGGCTGTGCCCATGTGGACATATACTTCAGCTACATATACAGTCAACCCCGCGGGCTGTGTTTTTGCGGACATATACTTTAGCTACATACCGTGAACCCGCGGGCTGTGCTTGCGGACATACATACTTCAGCGGCATAGACTCAACCCCGCGGGCTGTGCCCATGCGGACATATACTTCAGCTACATACAGTCAACCCCGCGGGCTGTGCCCATGCGGACATATACTTCAGCTACATACAGTCAACCCCGTGGGCTGTGCCCATGCGGACATATACTTCAGCTTACATAGAGTCAACCCCGCGGGCTGTGCCCATGCGGACATATAAACCAGCTACATACCTGCGGGCTGTGCCCCTGTGGACATATACTTCAGCTACATACAGTCAACCCCTCGGGCTGTGCCCATGCGGACATATATTTCAGCTGCATACAGTCAACCCCGCGGGCTGTGCCCATGCGGACATATACTTCAGCTACATACAGTCAACCCCGCGGGCTGTGCCCATGCGGACATATACCTCAACTACATACAGTCAAGCCCGCGGGCTGTGCCCATGCGGACATATACTTCAACTGCATACAGTCAAGAGTCGTGGTGTCCCGTGGGCTGTGCCCATGCGGACATATACTTCAGCTACATACAGTCAACCCCGCGGGCTGTGCCCATGCGGACATATACTTCAACTACATACAGTCAAGCCCGCGGGCTGTGCCCATGCGGACATATACTTCAACTACATACAGTCAACCCCGCGGGCTGTGCCCATGCGGACATATACGTCAACTGCATACAGTCAAGAGTCGCCGTGGGCTGTGCCCATGCGGACATATACTTCAACTGCATACAGTCAAGAGTCGTGGTGTCCCGTGGGCTGTGCCCATGCGGACATATACTTCAGCTACATACCGTCAACCCCGCGGGCTGTGCCCATGCGGACATATACTTCAACTGCATACAGTCAAGAGTCGTGGTATCCCGTGGGCTGTGCCCATGCGGACATATACTTCAACTATAGTACAGTCAAGCCCGCGGGCTGTGCCCATGCGGACATATACTTCAACTGCATACAGTCAAGAGTCGTACTTCAACTACATACAGTCAACCCCGCGGGCTGTGCCCATGCGGACATATACGTCAACTGCATACAGTCAAGAGTCGCCGTGGGCTGTGCCCATGCGGACATATACTTCAACTACATACACTCAACCCCGCGGGCTGTGCCCATGCGGATATATACTTCAACTGCATACAGTACAGGGTCGTGGTGTCCCGTGGGCTGTGCGGACATATACTTCAACTACATACAGGCAACCTTGCGTGCTGTGCCCATGCGGACACATACTCCAACTGCATACTACAGTCAAGAGTCGTGGTGTCCCCCGGGCTGTGCCCATGCGGACATATACTTCAGCTTTGGAGCATGATGTTACGTCGGATGTCAAGCAGCCTGAAGCCGAGGAATAGTTGGGATGCCGATCTGCGTACAGCTGGCATGCAGCCGGTGCCAACCATGTGGCTGCTGGAAGGCCACTTCGGCTTGCTGTGGCTTGAAGCATTAAACACAGTGCAAGGATGCCAGCCAGTCCCTGGATTTGCGTGAATCGACACCGAGGGACCATCACAAGGGAGCCAGAGTCAGGTCCTGCAGTCCACACCACACGGCGCTTTCCACGAGCTGAACCAACAACTGTTGTCTCTGTTGGAGGCCTGACTGGCTACTTGACAGAGACCGAGCTCGAAGCACTTCTCGCGCAGCTGTCAAAGCTTGTCCCTCGCCCGTGTTTGTTTCTATTTTAGGGATTTGGGGTTTTGATGATCAGTGCTGATATAGATCAGGCCGTTGGGTTCTCCCCACCGTATTTAGCATGCTCCTACCTTGAAGATCGTGTCAGCATGGAAAGGGGTGAAGTAGCTTGGGCCGTGAACTGAATCTCACCCAACACTTCGGCCTCCAAAGCCTTTGAACCCTAAGCCCACACATTTGTGCTCCAAATGCTCGCGAAAATCCGACATCTCTATCGCTCTGCAGTACTCGTCTCGTCCCGACTTGCCGTCTCAGCCACGCGACCCCCCTTGTTGAGTCTTCGATTGTCTTTGCACTACCCTCAGATCGAGATCAATTTCTAGCATTGGCTTTCCATGCATTCGCCACACCTCGCAGATTCGCATGTCATTGCACATATTCCTTGGATGTTAGGACTTGTCCTCGCTAAACCATACAAAGCTGTTTTGCCAGGCCACAGAACTGAATCGACACACAGGCACACCCAGCCCCTGAACAATTCCGCAGCAGGCTTTGCGGCCCCAGACGTCAAGAATCGGTCGAACAGCCTCCCATGCAAGCCTGAGGCAGATCCAAGCTCTCGGATGACAGCAACTTTTGTAGGTCGCGACATGAAGGAGATCCGCATCTTGCTTTTGCCAAATTCCTTTCAGGGGGCAGGACTTTTGGTTATCGTGTGCTTAGAGCAGTTTCGCTGAGGTTTTGGAGTCCAAACTCTGTTTGGCTCGGAATCTCAAGTCTTGCGCGAAAACCCTCAAGTTTCCCTTGCAATCAGGTTGTGTCTGAATTAAGAGATATGCTCTGGTATCTTATGCTTCCTCCCCGTTAAACACAAGTGTGAGTGGCACTCTGCCCGCTGATGCCGCCGGTGCTGCCCAATACTGAGCCATACTGCCTCCGTGGGTCAGGGTTAAGGGTGAGGGCGGCCGCCAAGAAAAGTACTTGGCTGTGGCGAATCTCCGCAAGCAGGAAAATTCCACTTCCATGCACCGCTACCTCGTGACGGGACCCGATCAGATCTCGGGGCTGCGACTCGAGCTGCTTTGGACACTTTCTTGACTGCAGGATGTACGCTTTGAAGTCGGGCTCAGGGTTGGAGGGCAGGGAAAAGAAGCGTACACAGCAGCTTCAAGTTGTGTTTCAGAAAGTAATTGGATGCTTTTGAGAGTACTTTAACTCAGACTGTTTCAGGTAGTGGCCTTGGTTTGCTTGGCTGTTGTTTCTCTTTTTCAAGCAATTTCATTATCATATGTTCGTGCTTTATCACGAACACACTCGCGGTTCGTGCTTGCTAGCGCTGTGGGGTTTCGAAAGAAATTTCTGCGTGGCTTGGGGCTTCCGGGTTTGGGCTTTTGGCTCTCATGTGGTTGTTAGGTAAGACAGGTCCTTAGGACTCTTGCCCGATCTTCTGTCGACCCAGGCTGGGAAAGTTCGGATGGCACTGCGAGGTCCACCCCATCGCAGAGATTTCGCGCCTCTACGACCGCTCGGACCATCTGCCCCAGGACTATGCGTGCCTTCACTGCCTTCGCTTGAACTTAAGAACCAACACCCTAAGCGCTGTGGTGTCCTATTCAGTTCCAAGGTCCGATAACTCGCAGTACTCAAGGCCCTGACATGCCTTGAAGGCCGTAGATACAGCAGCCTTTTGTTTTCGTTTGGATCAAACCCCTTCTGAAAGTCGTTGTGGCCAAGGTATTTCTTGGTCTCTGCCTGGCGAGCTGCCTGAGTCTACCACGATGTAGATGCTGAAGCCTTTCGATTCAAATCTGTGTTCGCATTGTTGTCCACTCATAAGAGATTGATTGAGGTTATTGGTCAGCCAATGGTTCGTGGATCTATCTATCTGTCGGGGGGCCATCCGCCCGTCCATCCATCCATCCATCCATCCATCCATTTGTCTTTCCCTTTTCACGTTTGCGGTTCATGGCCACAGCCACGGATGGCAAGAATGCCCGGCCATCCCCAAGTAACCAAAGGCGCTGGCCAAAACCCCTCTGACATGGATGGTTCTTCAAAACCTAGGCTGCTTGCTCAGCTATTTGCATATGACGTGGTTGATGATCAGAATGAGAGAAAGCCCTAAAGCTGGAAGAGCCCACGTATCGTAGCAGCTTCGAGCACAGTTTTCCAGCCACGGGCAGAGAAGAAGCCCGAAGCCTTGGCATGTACAGAGGTCGGATTGCGGCATGATGTTCCATTGCAAAAAGGCAGCTGCATTTCAGTATTGAAAGCCTAGAATTCTAGCAACCCCTGCCCCAAGCCTCTTAATCAGGATACGGGGTCAAGCGTTCAGCGCGGCTTGGTGTTGCTATTACGACCGATCTTTCGATGAAGCAGGGTTCTGTTAGTTCATGAAGCTTGTCTGTAGCTGTATGCCGCGAGCGGGTGAAAAGCTACCACTTGATGCTAGGTATATGGATGGAGTTCACGACTCGGACCTAGTGTTGGAAGCACTTTGCAAAGCAGTGCAATTACACGCTCGGATTGCCTTCAATTCCATGTGTGCCCTGTGAAGGAAGCTTGCGAATGCTAATCAACATGCCTCTGAGCAGTCATTCAGCGTTGAAAACGACATGTGAAAGCTACACTTTTCTCAACGAGTGATCATGTGTGCAATCGGCTTGTGATTCTGAGACAAGTACAAGTGGCAAACGTGGTGAGCCATGGTGAAGCGTGCGTCCAAACCAAGCCGGACTGGAGCGCTGTCATGGAAAAAGGACCTATCCATCATCAAACGACTGAGGGCCAAAAAGGATGCTCCAGTCGACTCGATCGGTTGTGAGCGCCTGGCGGACGTGAGGGCCAGCCGACGAACGTACGAATGGCAATGCTTGGTAGCTGCCATGTTATCTTCCCAGACCAGAGATCAAGCCACGGCTGCTGCAATGGGAGTTTTGCGGAAACATGGCAACACGGTGGAGAAAATCGCTGCCACATCAGAAGCGAAGCTGTCGAAGCTAATCAGTGCAGTTGGCTTCTTCAACGTGAAGGCCAAGACCTTGAGGGCTGCGGCGAAGGTGTGCCTTTCAGACTACAAAGGCTGGATACCGCAGACCATGGAAGGATTGCTCTCACTGCCGGGCATTGGTCCCAAAATGGCACACTTGGTGATGCACAGTGCCTTCAATCGCCCCCAAGGCATTTGCGTCGATACGCACGTGCATCGGATTGCCAACAGGCTCCGCTGGGTCAAGAGCAAGACTCCTGAGGGCACGCGTAAGGGCTTGGAAGCTTTGCTTCCACGAAGAGAGTGGGCCGGGATCAATGTCTTGCTAGTCGGACACTTGGATACCTTATGCCTTAATGATGCTTCCTCTGTGAAACTTACGTATGAAGTAGGGGAGCCCTTCAGCTGCTTCTTGCCTGCATCTGCTCTGCTTGTGTTTACCGGCTTCCAGGACTTGGGCAGATGCAGCAGCAAGCCGCCTCGCAGCTCCTTGAAAGGGCGCTCCGGGTTCGCTGCAGCCTGGAGGCGGTTCTGCTCCTCCAGCGGATGGGCGTCTCTTTATACGCTGGTCAGCATGCGGCGCTGGACAAGCTGTCCGCCAGAGATCAGCGGCTGCGCCTTCTCAAGAGATCCCGCTGAACGGGACACCAGGCGGACACCAGGCAGGCAGCCAACCGGGACATGCTCATAGCCTGTGAAGCCTGCAAATGCGTGATATGTCAGGGCCAAATAATGACCATGGTCCTGGTGATTTTAAGAATCGGCTCTGGGTGCAAACATGTGCGCTGGCATCGTGGCTGTCTGAAGTTGCGACTGATGTATGAAGGACATCGTAATGTGCCGTTTCGAGCAAGTGCCGCTGTCTTTTGGTTTTCGGGGACTGTAAGCGCAGGGCAACGTATTCGATAGCGCGTGCAACACCCTGCTGTGCGCGGTTTGACGTGACAAATCCAAATGCTAAAGATCTAAGCAAAACACCCCGAACTCTGGCCCACACCCTACACTCCTAATTAAACGCTAAGCCCACAACACTGAACCAAGCTGGAGCAGCAGCAGCAACTTCTGTGCAGTTCTCACCACAATGCATATTCAGAACGGACTGTGTTGCCCAAAAACTGCACTATACTTTGAAATCTGCACTATACGAAAACCAACTATACTAAACTATACTATGCTATACACTGTATTATACACTATTATACTTATACTAAACTATACTAAACCCCGTAACCCCAAACCCCTCGCAGCCTGAGGTGCTGCCGGCTGCGGAGGTCCGAGTGCCAAGTCAGCAGACCTCGTGTTTTGGATGTCCATCCCTGGGCATGGGGGGGTGGGAGTTCAGGGTTTAGGATTTCAATTAGGGTTTTGGGTTTAGGGTTGGTGGCTTGGTGGGGGTGAGGAGGGGGGGGGTTCAAAGCAAACGGACTCTCGTAATATGGCACCTGAACAGTAGGATCGGCCACCAAAACAGACCGGAAATGTTGAGAAACCCTCAGAAACCGGAGTGAAGATGAAAGTGCCAGGACCACTTTGAAGATTCTATTTGTTGTCAACGGCTTGGATGGGTGTTTTTGTGCCGGCCCCACACCCATGCAGGCACTCAGGACTTCCGGCAGCTTGACTACTCAAGACAGCTAGCTTCGTAATCGCATCCGTGAGAAAATTCTGAGAAGTGTGTTGGCGATGAGGGTTCACGCCTCTCGAGTCCTGCGAGAACTCATGAGCGTCCAGGGGATCTAAAAACTCTCAGCTTCGCAGGGATGGAGCACCGTGCATTTGTGGGCAGGCGCTGGTCGCAAAGCTGGAGGAGCAAAGACTCTCCTTCGATCGCGCCAGCTGCTCAGGACTCCAAGACAGAACTCCAAAGTCACTGAAAACCTAAGCCCTAAACCGTTTAGCTTAAACCCCAAACTTTAAACCCTACACCTAGCTTGCCCAGGTCACCTACCACACCCTCATCTCCCTCTACAGCAAAGCCGATATGCCCCGGCGAGCTCTTCAGGCGGATCGGATGGCTTTTTATGCCTACATCCGTGCATCCATACATAAGCAAGTACGTCTGAGTTTATGTAGACTTCGGTAGATGATTCATTAGTTACTAGTTGTTCTTATCAGGTGGATGGGTCAGTTCATTTGGGCATCTGTCTGTCTTTGATGCATGCGACTGACTGTATGTATGATAAACGTCCGCTTTCTGATAGGCATCGTTGTGACTCAAGCCGCGTGTTCTTGTGTATAGTATGGTCCCCTTCTTCAGGACTTTTGTTGTTTTGAGCACGCCCACTCACGCTGGTGCTTGAGCGGAGAATTCATGTTGCGCATGAGTGTCAATGTAGCACGGAGGCATTTCTGCCATGCCGTTGCGCATATCGCGTCTTCTCGGTGTGGCAGGGCATGCGCAGGCGTGGCAATCCAAGCCCTACAGGCTGCTCAAGCCCAAGAGCCTCCCGACAAAACACTGAAACCTAGGCCGCCGCCCATGAAACCCGGAACCCCGAAGCTTCCCAAAGACCCTTCGATGGAGGTCCTCGAGTCTATGCGGGCCTACTGCCAGCCAGGGCTCCCCGGTGCGGGCTTCGGTCTGGGATGCAGCTAAGCTTCGGGTTTACCTTCTTAGCCAGGGCCGCTAGAGGGTTGAGAGTTTAGGGGTTCAGCGCTTTAGGAGAAGGTGCTTATTCAGGGCGTGAGAGGGGTCCCGAAGAGCTCCAGGAGCTCCCTGCATGAGGTTTCTTGCAGGATCTGAGAATCAGCTCCTCCTTGACCCCTTACAGAGTGAAGCAACGTGAAGCTGTGAAGCTAGAGGGAGTGGATGTCGGGACGAGATTTGGGGTTCAGGAGGTCAGGACTGGATGAGGACGAGCTCCAGTTGTCAGATTCGCAGATCTGCGGTGGCAAGCAAGACACGAGCAGCATCTCTACCGTGGTCCGTGCCGAACCCTCCTTCCTCTTGCACGAAATTACATAGACTTGTTCTGAACGCTTGATTGCTGCCGTAATGGGGAGGGTCTTCCCTCCACTAATGCGTATTACAATGAGCAGCACGGCTCTGTCTCTGGCTCTTTCTCTCTCTGCGGCATTGGGGTTTAGGATTTAGGGCCCCATCCAACAAGCCTAAGCTCTTCGTCCTGAGCCACCTCCCTACATGCCCAAGATGCGTCTTCTTGCAACCACTCGACATGTGCTCAGGATACAATGCTGCTATCCGCTCATTGTCGGGCGATGAGGCGTCAACCTCAGCATCGAAGTTTGGAGCCAGAACTCCCAAACCCCTATACCCTAAACCCCTAAACCCTAAAAGCCCTACACCCTAAAAGCCTTAAAAAAACCCTAAACCCTAAACAAAAAAACCGATCGTGGGCACGCGTGACCACGATCCACGCCCTGAGGCGAACTTCCCTGAGGCCTGGGAGACGGCGACAAAGTTGTTCAGGCGCATCCGATCTTACCTTACCTTGGGTTAGTAGGAAATGGAGGAATGGGGTACAATTATAACTACTATTACTACCATTCTTCCTTTCCCTACTAACCAAAGGTAAGTTACTCGGAGCTGAAGGGGGGGGGGGCATGCTTGCGGTTTTACGCTTGCCGTCTGCACGCATGAGGTAAAAGCTGAGTGCTGCCGAAAGCCGCGGAACACTACAGATTGCTATCGAAACAGTGTGCTTTTTCAGCCATTTCAGTGCCGTTTAAATTCAATATCGGCTATTACCAGTGGCTCACGTGTCGGAACCTTGGCTGTGACAGAATACTTGTGGATGTTCTGGAAAGATCACTGGCAGCGGCTTTTTAAGAATGTCTCACCTCGCTTCACAGGCAGATGACCTCTGATGAATTGCAGCCAGACAAGGGCAGCTTCAACGCGCCCAGGCCCTAGGTGGAGCAACTGTCTGCTAGGGACATGATCAGTAATTAAGTAATCTTTTTGCTCTTAGTGTCAAGGTTTCAGGGCGGAGCTTCTCTCGTTTTTGAGAACTTAGGTTTGGTCTCGGGAATGTGGGGGCTGGCTTCAGAATTCCAAGGGCCCTTGGAGCCCCCCAAGGGCCCGGCGGTCTTCCGACTTGCTTTTGCGGCCTCTCGTTTTTCGAGACGCGCCGACCAGGAATGAGTCAAGGTTTAGGGTTTAGGGTTTTAGGGTCTAGGGTTTGGGGTTGATCTTGAGTCTGCAAGCAATCGTGCGGTGCTCTGAGAGCGGGCATTGGCCTTAGCATGATTCGGAATCTCCGGGTTCGTCAACTTGTGAATCAGTAGCATCGGTAAACGATGCCCAGGCTGGCCGCACAAGAATATCATACTGCATACTAATCAATGTATTAATGTATTCACCTATTATCTATGAATATATCATGATGCTAATTAAAATTACGTAAATAGGTTGCTACATGAACATATTGATATACCAAGGCTTCTCAGCGTTTATGGCAACGCAGGCTGCTCGGATGCTTGTGTCTGTGTTTGCTCAAGGGTTTCAGGTGCAGTTTGATCCGTGGCCTTGCCACAAGTACTTCCTGCAGGGGTTGAGCACGAGATGCTTGCAACGGCCCATAGTGGTGGTTCACAAGTGCTCCCACGGCGGGGCAAGCCATGCAAATCTTGATCGGGATCAGGACGAACCATCACTATTCGGGTCAGCGGGGTTTGCCAACAAACCATCATGCACGCAACAGCTTGCTGTAGATGTGAGTTTGAATATACAGGTCATAACCGCTATCAGCGAGCAGTGTCACGTCGAGCTCAGGAAAAGACAAGTGAACCTCTCAGGCTCTAAGGTCGTATTGCACCGGGTCGCAAGCGGAGTGCTCGGATATTCCAGGCAACATGACATGCAACAACCACTGCAGAGACGAACTAAACATGCACTTTCGGGCCTGACCCCAGCATGAAAACGGCATCTTAGTTGTTCTCGCGTGTCCTTCCTTCTCCTCTTCCTACCTCTTTCCAAGGCTTCCAGGTGGACCTCAGTCTTGCAGGCGGTAGATGCCATGTGTCAGGCGGGACAGGTTTGCTGATGTTCCGGATCCCAGGGGTGAACTGGGGCAAGTGAAATGCGATCAGAGTTGACAAGTTGGCTGGCAACGGTTTCACGAGATTTTCGGTCCGGCCTGTGCGTGTGTGTGGATAGATGGGCTATTCTTCGCGAGGTTTGACTTCATAGTGCCAGCATGCCAGTTGTAGCGCTTCAGAGCCATTGCAGCCTCTGGGCTTGTGGAGGCGATCACAGACGGGGGCGGTGCCTGCTCCCACCCACAAGCACGCGCACACAAATCTATAAGAAAGCAGCCCCTTTCTCCGTGCATGCATAAAACTGCTGCATGGCTTGGCAAATGACATGTTTCGGGACTCGCTTTTTACTAATCTTCTGCAGGAGCAGTCCAGCGTAGGCGTCCCCTGAACCGAGGATCCGAAAGGTCGTGCACTAGAACTAGGACTGGATCCGTGAACGCTGCATCCAAAAGCCGAAACCGTAAACCCATCCGAAACAGGTTCCATGGGTTTCACCCGACGTCATCACCTGGAGTACTGCAGTTCTGACCTCGGGCTGCTTTGAGAGGCTGGAAGCTGAAGACGCTTTGATGGTGAGTGGATGAGTTTCAAAGCCATAAGAAACCTAGACATGCCCGTCGTTCCACATCAAACTGCTGATTTGGTCGCTGTATGAGCATCGCCGTCCTGGACTCCAAAGCCACGCTGCAAATCCACACGGAACATGGGAACGTGGAAGCACTCGGCCACTGAGGTGGATGCTTGTGGACGAAGTGCACGATGGGAGGCGACGGCTGCTGCACCTGTCGTTTGGGTGGATCGATGTGATAGGTTCTGCGCGTTTAGCATCTGGGCTTACGATAGCGGGTCCAGGAAATTGAGAAAGACGGAACTGAGTATAATCTTGAGCTGTTTCTGTTTTTGAACTGCCAGTGTTGATTTAAGCCCGCCGGTTTGGGTATGCACTCATAATGCAATGTGTGCACTTGCCAAAAAGCTGTTTGCATAAATACTCCGCCTATGCATGTGCCTACTCTGCATGAAAGACTCATGTTTATATTACATACGACCGCGTCTCTCTCTCTATTTGTTTCCTGTCTGTCTGTCTATCTATTTATCTATCTACGTATCTACTTATCTGTCTCTCCACGTTTCCACCGAGCAAGCTATCTACCTATCTTTCTACCTGCCTATCTGTCTTACTATCTGTCTAACTCTCTTTCCGTCTCCATCTGTCTTGGTCTCTCTCTCTCTCTGCCTCTCTGTCTCTGTCTTTGCCTCTCTCTCTTTTGCTACATCCTCCATGCTTCCCTCCTGCGTGTTTGTGCAATCGTACATACATACACGCAGAACTCACATATACATAAACGGTATGTATACATGAAGGGTTGATTGACAATCATGCATACATACACACGTACAGACATACAGACGTACAGACATACACGCGTACACACATACGTACATACGTACATACGTCCGTACGTCTGTACGTGCATACATGTACACATGCGTGCGTGCATACATGTACACATGCATACATGCATACATGCATACATGCGTGCATGCATTCATGCATACATGCATACATACGTACCTTCGCACATACATGCATGCATGATGCATATATACGAGCATGAGCCAGGAGCCGGCCCGAATTAAGCTCGAATGCCTGAGCACCAGAACTCGTATTTCGCCAAATTCTGAAGTACTCGGATTACACATGGACAACCGGGTTGAGATTCGCTCAGCTACTTCATTTTTCAACCCTTCCAAGAGTGAACGAACAAGCGCTGCTGAAGGCTGCTTCATACCTGATGTACAGCATGAGGCGCGGCAGGATTGAATGGCCTCACAGCTTGTCGGTGTGTTTTGCCCGGGGGCCACTGGGAGTGTCCCGGTCGGGGCCAGGTAGCAGCAATCTTGTATTCAGACACAATCTCTTCAATCTGCTCACTTCCTGTGCCGAGACTGAGGGCCCTGAGACCCTTAGTGCCAAGTCTTCGATGCCACAACCGTTGCTCAGTTTCTCCCAGCATCGACAAAGGTTTGCCGTGCCCCCCAAGATAGGCCCCCTGTCTCAATGTCGTTACCTACTAGGAAGTGTTCCGATATAGCTATGAACCCATGTTCCTGATTCTGAAGCGGTTGAACCCCGACACCCTCAATTCTGAACCCGGTCTTTCACCCCCTAAGCCCAGCAACGTCCCAGGCGCCTGAAGCTTGAAGCCAACGTCGTGGTTTGGAGCGCTCTGGTCAAGGCGTACGCCACCCAGGGCCAAGGGAACTAAATCCTAAGAACCACCCCAAAGTAAGCCTCTCTTAGGATTATGCTTGTCAGTGGCATTCGGGGCATGTTCTGGGCAGGTCAGAATGGCTTGTCTTTGCAGCTTCTCGCGTTGCAGGTGTTGTAAAATCCAGCAATACACTCAGGCACCTGGACAGGCAAAAGAGCCTTTTTCAGATCGCTGCGGAAGCTGTGTAGAAGACTGCCTCTAGCAACCGAAACAACAAGGCGACCGGTGTGAATACCAAGCACCCAAGCCCTTACAAGGGCGATCGGTGTGAATACCAAGCACCCAAGCCCTGATCCAAAGTTGATGCCATACCTGAAGCCGAGGCCCCAAGCCCCCATCAAGGTATGACCGAGCTAGCCACTGGGACCGAGCCATTGCCACGGCAGTGAGGATGTCAGAAGCTCAGCCCAAGGAGTCCCTTGCCGTCAGTGCTTTCATTGAGGGCTTCAAGAGGCTCAAGAGAACTTCTTGCGAATCGGGGGAACCTTTCAATTCAAAGCAGAGGGAAGCCTGAGGGAGTCTTGAGGAATTGCCTATTTGGGTTGCTCACCCCTTGTGGGATCATTCAACACGTTGGTTGCCATTGTACCTTGCAGTAGTCGACGTGTGCTGAGACAGAATTCACTGGAACTCGTTTTCGTGGCTTCATGCTTCCGGTTCGCGCAAATGAAGGATGCACCCTGGCCGGCAGCGGCGCGCGCTGCCAAGGACCCGGACAATAGAATCCAGGTCCACTGCTAAGAGGCGTTCATTACATGTTTTCTCGGTGTGACTACAAGTAACAACTGCGGTGTCGATGGCAGGCCCCCCGCTTGAGTTACGAGTTTGATCTGCGCAGTCTGACATCTGCCCTACCTTCGGGACAAGGCTTCACGGCCGAGTGAGGCGTAGATCTACCCTGGCAGGCACCTCTTCCTAGCAAAGACAGCCTATACTTACACGGGACGTTCGTAAATCTAATGCGTATCCTCGTCATATGTCACATCATTCACCATGCAGTTCCTTGCTGCTTCCTGCTCCTCTGCGCCGGATGCCGTGAATGTTGGCTAAGCAGACAATGTGGAGCGACGAAACATGATGAAGTTGCGAAGTCCGATTGGATGGCAGGCCCAATGCAGTTGCTTTGACCAGTGCCGCCAGCGCTTGTGCCAAGGCACTATCTGGGCTGACCTAGAGTTTTAAACAACAAGCACCGCACCAGCACCTCCACCTGCAGAACAGCAGTAGTGGTAGTGGTAGTCGCAGTCTGGCAGTGGTAGTGGGAGTGGCAGTGGTAGCTGTAGTAGTAGAAGTAGCGGTAGCAGCGGTAGCGATAGCGGTGGCGGTTGTGGTCGTGCTTGTGGTTGTGGTGCGGTGGTAGTGGTCGCTGTGGTATAGGAAGGTCCAAAAACCAAGAGAAAGCAGGCAATAAGCAGCTTTACGGGCTCATGTCGCTCATCCGCAAACGAAGCTTAACTGCTCTGATTTTGGCGCTGCTGCAGCCAATACGACATGCAGTGAAGCCAAGTGGGGCGATGCATATTCAACGTGGATGCCTCTGATGATTGTAAGACATGTGCAGCAGTTCGTCTTCCCGTTGCACATGTCGCTCCCATATTACAGTGTTGACCAGTCCAGCACTCTCAACTCTTGCATACAATGCAGCGCACAGCTCTTTCCTGGGACCGCAATCGCTTGCGTGCGCCTATGCAGAAGGCGCAACGTCTCACATCGGTAAGACCTCCAGCTTACGGCAAGCCCAAGCCCAGGGCACCCTCAGCCCTGAGCCCCAAAATCCAGAGACTTCTGCGGTGTGCCCTGCAGGGCCAAGCCTGGCAGCCTGCGCTCGCATTGCTGTGGACTGCCCAAAGGTGGCGGCTTCGCTTTGGGCGCTTTGGGGGCTCTGCATCAGTTTGGGGAGATGCCAGGGTCGCTAAGCGGTGGCTCCCTCTCGCTCGGATCTTCTGAGCTATGCCACTCTCCCGCAAGTTGCACAGAGGTGGCGTCTTCGGCCGAGCCTGACGGCCTTCAACACAGCACTGAGCCAGGGGCTCGAATAGGATCTTGAGCCGCTTGCTACCTAACCTGGGAGGCTCAGAGACAAGACGCTCAGTTCAAGCCACGCTCAGGTGCCTGTGCCGCCAGCAAGCAGTGGCGGTGCCCGCCTTGGTGAAATCGTGCGAAATCAAACAAGCAATCGCCGTCGGGCCTCGCGATTGGGTCTTGTTCCGTCCAGATGAGCCAGCTATGACTTGTTTCTTTCGCATTTCGCGTACTCGTAGCTGATAATTCCTTGGACGTTCGACCTTGAATTGAAAAGTGCACAGGTTCATGGCAAGAGCAGCACATGCCAACAACAGCTGTCGGAGATTTGTTTCAGAGCTTTGTCCCCCCCCTAAGCGTTCTGGGTGCAAACTCCTCCTCAGCAGCCATTGGCCACTTGTCCAACAGAGGCACAGTAACCTCCAACAGTTTCGTTGGGGGACTGGACTGCCCATCACAACTGCTGTCACGTTGTGGAAGAACCTCTACCTAAAGCCCCGAAGCAACCTCAACAGTCCCCAAAACTCGAAACCCTAAACCCTGATTTACCTAAAGTCCTAAGCCCGAGACCCTTCGTAGTTTCAGGCAGGCCTTGGCCGGACTCGGAGGCTTGGGTCCGGCTGCAGACGTGGCAGCGCGGCTGCGAACAGAGAGAGACATGCAATACAGAAGCCTGCGTAATTAAGTAAGAATACAAGCGTCGCTCGGAGGTTTTGCATCGGCTGGGGCTTGGTGACGCATGGAGACCTGAGTAGCCAAGGCACTTTTTTTTTGGTTGTGCTAGGTCTACTGCTGCTGGTATCATTACGAAAATGTTCTGGTCAACGCGCTTGATTTGAATTTGGATCATGCTCGATCCACCTGGCAATTTCCTCCCAAAGCCAAGGTGACGCGCAACGCGGGCTACCTCAGACGCCCTTCATATGACAAAGTGTGATGAACGGAGTGCGATGTGTTGCACAGCTGCAGGAGCAGCCATACCTGTAATTGGATAGCATCCACATGGGCGCAGGCTGTAGAATGCAGAGTTGCTGTTTTGTAGTCCTGTGGCTCCAGGTCTGCATACACCAACTAAGAACTCCTGTCGGGTTGGCTCTGTCATACCACAGGTCGTCCTGGCTTCGTTGGAGTTTTCGCGAAGATGGGTGATGGTCTCGGTGCCGGGCTAGATTCTGAGGAAGCTCGGGTGTAGTCTAGTGCATGTGGGCTTTCCCATCCCGAGGCTACTCCGTGAACGATTCGGCTTTCGGACTGATGTTTTGAAATCCAAGTTCGTGGCTGAAGCTGCAGCCACAGCACCAAGCCAGAAACTCATATGCATTGCAGCACAGACAGCAACGGGCGATGCCTCTGAAACATACCACTGTGATCGCGACGGTTAGAGTTTCGGATTGGCTGCCCAATGCCATCGAGTCCAAGACTTCGGCTTTGAGCCCATGACTCGACACGACTATGGCAGTGTATGCAGGAAGGAAGACTTATAGACCGCTGTACAACATTCAAGAAATGGCCAGCTCATTCCGAAGAATGCAGCCGGGTTTTGTTGCCAAGTGCTCTTTCCATGGGTAGGAGCAGTAGAGTCAGGCAAAAGTGCAAGAGCCAGGTCTCGAAGGTTCCGGTTCCGCGGCAATATTGCATGACCTCCAGGCTTCTCGTGTATACATGCCTTGAAACAGTTAATCAAAAAAGCTGGCAGAACACTTGAACCGGAAGTGCGTGCGTAAGTTATGAATCAGGAGCATGCTCTGGCACTTGTGGAGTCCATGGTGAAAGAGGACTTCTGGCACATGGCCCAGACAAAGGGAGATAAGTGTTGCTGCGTCTTGACGAGGTAGTTGCTGTTGTAGATCTGGGACATGCGCCTGCCTGCACCTCGTTCCACCGCTTCTGCACTCTCTCGTCCCAGCTGCGTGAGTTGGTGCTCCAGCACCCTCAAGGCCAGATATCTTCAGCTTCAACAGCTTGCTCAGCACTTTCGAGAAGGCCAGATGCAAGTGTTTGTGTTTGGCCGTGCAGGCCTGTGACATGCAAGGTTTCTGGCGCTTAGCTGTTTCGAGCTTCAGAGACCGATCTCGCCGCAGCAAAAGAAAACTTCGCCTGTATCCGTATCGTTTGAACGGTCGTCTTTGAAGAAAGCTATTCGCTCTCGTCTGCAGCAAACCTGCCTGCAGCTTTAGCGCACAAAGAAGTATGGTTGCAAACCGAAAAGGCCGCGCAGTGGGAGCGCGCTGTGACGCTGCTCCTGCGGATGTTGGATTTCGTTGCTGGGGCCACAGGAAAGGGCTCCTGAAGGCTTGGAAGTCCTTGAGACTTGGGATGTTCGGTTCCTGCCTGGATAGTGTGGAGAGTATGGAGAGCGGATGCCGTGTATGAGGCCCTTCGTCCGAGAGCCTTACTTCCTCGTGACGTTTGACTCCTGTATTTTGCTCTGTCCCAAGCCGAACGCTAGTCTGACACTCCCCATCTTCGGACTTGGTGATGTCCTACGCAGAAATACATATCTTGTCAGGTCACTTCCTGCAAGCCGAGAGAACTCGAATCAAGGTGAAGTTTTGAAGTCACACCAATCCTGTCGACCTCGAGGATTGTCAATCGAGGACCCGTGTTACGGTGGTAGCTGCCTTAAGGAAGCTCCAAAAGGCTAGGATGTTCTTGGGGACCACGTGCGTGTGTGCGTACGTGTGCCTTTGTGTGTAGTTGCTATTTCAATGCGCGAGGTCGCACCGGATGACATCAGCTGCAACGTGGTAGTGGCCAGCTGCCCCTTTGTTGAAGAAGAGGTCCTGGGATACATGAGTGTCCGAGCCGCGGAACTTTGGGCATCTCGTCCTAGACATAGAAGAGCGAGCTCCCAAACAAAAGGTCAATGGAGCCTGACAAGTGCCTGCCGCATTGGGTCTTCGTTTCGGATCTTAAACCACCTCACACCGACACACTGCTAGCAGTGTGTCTACTGCGTAATGATCAATCTGCTTATTGATAGCTCGTATCAGGTATCCCATGGAGTGCTAGCCAACGAGATTGAATGTGTGTGTAATTCACTATGTGTATATATATATATACACACACGCACATATGAACAAACACATGCATCTACATGTATACGTGTGTACGCATGTAGGCATGCATGCGTGCATGCATGCATGTACGTAGGCAGGTAGGTGTACATACAGTAGGCAAGGGTTTGCCAAGCTCCGTAAGCCAGAACCCTCTGCAAATTACGAGAAGGTCCCGTCGTAGGCCCTGATGGAAACCTGCATAGACTCTTATGAAAGCCTTTGTTCGGCGACCCTATTCAAACCATTCAGGCTCCTCGTTTTTCCCTGCAGCCTGCCCAGCCCAGGCCGCCGGGGTGGCTCATGGCGGGCAGAGCTCTTAGCTTAGGGCGAACCCACGGGGTTCCGGGTTTCGGATGTCGGGTTCAGTGTTCAGGGGGTTGGGTTCACAGGTTGGGCTATTCGGGGTTGATCGAGGAGTGGTCTTGAAGTTCCTGCTGCAGGTTCAAAGGCGGTTTCAGGCTCTGTGGCCTGCCTTATAGGACGAGTGAAGAGATGTAGGGCTGTTTTGTAGGGCGCTTCGGTTGAGGCTCTGGGGCCTTGGCGGTTCAGCCTCTGCTCTGAGTTATGGCAGAATGCAGAACCAAGACCGGCCCGCAGGATTCAGCAAACAGTGGTAATTTCATGTTCATCGGTTTGTTTGGTTGCTGCCGTTCTTGCTGTATGACTATATGTCAAGATTCGCAGCTAATGTGTGTTGACCAAAACATAGTTTCTCAATAGTTTTACTCTTGCATGTCTTGCTAGCTTATGGAATTGCACACGTTGTCGAACCACGCTGGCGATTACTGACCGGGTTGTTCGTGCTATTCTTCATCATTCGAGGCCCAGGGATCGAAACTCGATGGCCCCACATCAGAGCACCGAAGACTTCAAGCTGGAACCAGGCTGCACCTCAAAGATGCGATGCCTGAGCAAGCCTGAAAGCTTCACACTTTCAGCGAGGCCACTTTGGGCCTGCTCCCTGGGTCCGGCGCCGGCAAGCATCTTGTCGTACCCTGGAGGGTTTGGGTGGCCTTCCTCGAGCATTTGGTGTCTACTGACCAAACATTTGTGTTCGGCCTACCTGTTGAACTGTTGTCGGGCTGCCCTTCTCCTACAAGTAGCATCCTTACGAGTGTTTCATGACTACAGGTTTATGAAAACAGACTATCAGCATCATGATCCCAGCATATAAGCCTTCCTATACCTGCTAATATGTACACACGTATGTGTATATATGTACATGTAAACATGTGTACAGGAACAGTTTGTGTGTGCACAAATTAACATACACAGTACTTATAAATACGTGCACGTACATGTATGACGTTTGCATTTGCACATGTATGTATGGACGAAAGGATGCATACGTTGTGTAGGCAGGCCGGCGGGCAGGCAGGCAGGTTAGAGCCCTTGAACACGGAAGCCTCCACCAGAAATTCCAGAAGTCTCGGCTACGAACCGAATCCTGCGTTTCTTGAGGCTTTTCCGTGGACTCGGCATCCTGGATGCAACGGAACTCTAGGTTTTTGCCGATGTGTGTGTGCGCCTGTCAACCTTCAGCGGCTTTGGCTTTCCGAGTCCGTGTTTCAGAGCGAGCTCTATACAAACGGGCTCCAGGATCATGGCTGCCGCCGCTTCATCCAGGGAGCCAAACCATGTCTACTACGAAGGTGCACCCGAAGCACTCGGGTGGAAGGAAACCCCAAACCCATCCACCCAATAAAAACCACTTAAACCCCGTTGCAACCCTCAAACGCAAGTCCCTTTCACTGACTCCAGCAATCAACCTGAAATCCAAGAACCCCTCAACAAACCTCAAAGAAATCTCTGTATTTCCAGAAACGAGCCCCCTTCCGACTCTAGAGCGGGAACTCAGGCGCGCTGGATGCTCTTGGTTGCGCCTCCGCAGTGTCTTCCGCAGAAGATGCACTTCTTCGACCGTTGGCAGAGGCGGATGAAGACATGGATTGTTAAGCTATTCGGGGTTTCGGCTTAGGGCAGGCTTAGGGTCTCGCCACTCGAGCCTTGATATAGCTTTGAGTGTAGGATATTGAGGGTTTCGAGTTCCTGCATTTGGAACTCCCGGGTCAGGCCACATGGAACCTCTAAGTTGCATTTGTTTGGCTTGGTTTGGTTCATATTATTCTTTTGGCTCAGCAGTCTCAGCTGTGGGCAGTTGACAGTCGCCACGCCTTCACCTTGCAGCATCTACGTATGATTGCGCATAATATGGGGTGGGTGTTCCCATGCCGGTTTAGGTCCTGAACCAATCGGACGCACCACCCAACTAGCCGCTAGCCGGTTCATACGACGGCGCCAACTCTGAGGCCTTCTGACTTCAGAGCGTGTCGTCATGTTGGGAAGCTCCCATAGCAGGCCACCCAGCTGGCAGCAGGAGCCCTGGCCGAACGATGGGCGCGCGCTGCGGGACCCGAGCCGGGACACCCGGCCCGGCTGCAATGACTCAGAATAAATATACAATGCGCGAGGAGTCAGAGCGAGCAGCAAAAAGACCAGTTTTCATGCTCTCTCATCATCGAGGGCTGCATCCTCATCGCCACCATCACGATCGCCCAGTGATCGCTAGAGTCAGGGTTCCAATGGTCAGGCGGATTGTCTTATCAGTGCAATCAAGAAGCCAGCAGAAGACGTAGGAGTTGTCGTGGTTGCAGCCGCCACCGCCGTCGGCCTCTTACGTCGTCGTCTTCTTGTTCGTCTTCCTCGTCCTAGTGTGGTCTTTGTCGTCATTGCAAGGAAGTTGAAGAAGGAGAAGGATGAGGAGTAGGAGAAGGAGTATGAGTCACAGAAGCAGTGCTCTGGAAATTGCGGCTGTGCGCATGGCTGCTGTAAACCCGCTCCATCCAGCTCTGCCCAATCCTGCATGCTTTCTGCAGCCTTCCAGGCTCCTTGGCCTCGTCCGCGGGCGGGACCGTCTTCGAATCCGTGCACATAGGTTTACCTGTTCAGTGCTGATGCGGTGTGAGACTGCTGGGGATGCGACTCATATTAGACTATTCCGTTGGCATCCTGTGACCCTTCGAACATCATCGCCGCTTCAATCAGAACGCAGCACGGAGCATTTGTCATGCGCGTCGAGTACTCGCAGAGACTGCAGCCTGATTCCTGCCGACTCTATCCTGCTGGCTGGTCGGAGCAGGAGCCCCTCGTGCTTGTCGGAGCGCTGGCAGGATTGCTGAGATCTCGGGATCGCTCGGGCCGCAGATGTGGGCAGAAGAATGCATGTGCAAAGGTCGGCATGTGCAGAGACTGCAGAGACAGATGTCCGATGAGTTGTTGCAGAGACTTCGGGCGCTTCCCGCCGTTTTGCCAAGAGAAGCTTCAATGCCTCAGTTGGTTGGGCTGGACACTTCGAGCGTGCCTTTGACCAACGAGCCAGGGGCCTGGGGTGACAACAGCCACTTGCGCGCCTTTGTCGAGTGTTACTCCGTGATGGGGTTCGGTTTTGGCGAGCTTGGCAGTGGCATGCCCATGCATCGTCGAGTCTTCGAGCTTGAGGTCCAGGCTCCAGTGCTGGCCGAGCTACACTCCGGAGGCCAAGCTTTGTCTCCCCTCGCGTCCATTCCTGACTTGCAGAGTCTCATAGTTGCGCTCCATCCCATCTTTCACCCTGGCCTCCGCCGCGAGGCTTGCCGAGTACCTCTTTAGGTGCTGCCGCGGGTTTGGCGGGCCCTATGTCCGCGGATGGGCTCGAAGGCTGCCGTTACGAAAGGTCACCTTTGTCCACTTCGCGGTTTGCTGTCAGCTGTCCCGAGACCCCCTGAAGCCCAGTCGAAAGCCCTGCAGCCATCTGCGGCCCGAGTCGTTCGTCCAAGACAACAGAGTATGTCTGCACAGAGGGTATTTGGAAGTTCCAGCAGTTCCCTGATGTTTATTTGCCAAGTGCCACTCTACTCTACTACCCATTCTTTTACTGAAGCCCAACCTGGTGATCCTCTTCAAGGCCTTCTGTTTTAGAGTGCTGTGGAAACTCCGTGGTGCGCTGCGTCCCGGGACCCAAGCTGCCATGGTGCGAGCCAGGAGCGGCCAAGAGGGAGCCCCCCAAAAAGTGCACCGGACCCTTTCTACTCCCCATCTGAAGTAGCGTGAAAGAGCTTTCATGCAGACAAGCTGTCAACAGCTTTCGGAGCTTTCCACACGTACATGCTTAAATGTTTCCAAGTGCTGCCGACATCCAGTATCATTTTGCGAAACAGGAAGCATCTTATTTAATCTTATTTCCTTTGTTTTTCTGGCTCTTCGGATGCAGGAGATCGGGTGCTTTAGCTGTCGCCTTGACCGTGGCTTTGTGCGCCTTGGCTCAGGGAGCAGGGCATTCGGGCTCGATAGGTGCTGACCGGCACGTCATTGCTGATGGTTCCGGGTTTGGGGAGCACAGGAAACTGTCATACAGGACTGCTACGTGTTGCATGTGTCCAACGAGTTCACGGCTGTAGGCTCATGGGACTTGCTTCACCGCCAGGGCTTGGAACATCGGCCTATTGCAGTTCCTGAGAGGTGACAGGACCAAAGCATAAGGCTCGGATGTTGATGTGAACCAGACGAGGCTGTGGGATCGAGCAGCTCCTCTATGTCTTAGCAGGACGGCTCTGGATTGTTGACGGGTGGTAAGGAGCCCCCAACCCCAACATGGGGTCCAAAAGTATGGAACCATCAGCACTTGGACGGATGGGTCCATGCTGGGAATGAGAGCCCTGTCCAGCAGTAGACAGTGGGTGCAATGGGTGCGCACTGTCCCTGCCTGCTTCAGCGGAAGGTCTTGTGAGGGCAGCCTGTAGCTGAAAGGATCCATGCCGACCATCCGAGACAGAATGTACATCTGCAAGGTGTGCGAAGCACCTTAGCCCCTTAGCTGCCCTGCTTGGAGGACGGTTGCCTCAGGCCCAGAGCCAGCGGGCTGCTGCAGTTCGCCGACGCGCAGCGATCAGGGATCGCAGCTCGCCGAATCAAAAGGGTTCTGCTTGTAGGACGTGGTATGTGGTAAGTACCGAAACAGCGACTCTGGAAGCCCTGGCTTCAAACTCTTGGAGATCTCGTTTCAGCTATGAGCCAAGGAGGCATGGCCCTGAAGACATTGGGTTTTACGGAGAGCTTTAACTCGGAGCCATCGGAGGAGGAGCTGCCGGATGCACTTATGGGGGGTTAGGTGGTGTGCTCCATCTAATTGGGGCTCTTCTTGAAGTCTTGGACGCACAGACGAGAGAGCAGCGTAAGTGTCCGGGGCCTGGACTTCATCCGCAACGGAAACTGAGGAGCTGGAGTGCAAGATACAGTGTTCGGGAGACCCCCCGACAGGTGTTACACAGGTGGTTCGGTTTACAAGTACGATCGGTTTCTTTTGGAAGTCGGAGGAGCTCAAGAAGGCCTACCGACAAGCCGTGCGCACATCCCACCCGGATGCCCCCGGAGGCCTGTCACGTAGAGTGCGTTACCGTTAGAGTCAGAGCGTACAAGCTCCTCCTCCCGTCGTGATTCGCTTCAGGCAGCGCTGAGAAGCTTCTGCTCGTGAAGGAAGCGTATGACTTTCTCTTGAATGCGCCCACTGTCACCGTCTGGGATGAAGGCGTTCCAGTGAACGAGCGCAGGGGCTCCACCACGTACACCTCCCCGGGCCGCAAGTGGCCGCGCTACCCGCAGGAGCGACCAAAAGCCTGGAAGGGACCAAGGCGGGAGCTGATCATAGGCGGCGTGGTTCTCGGCACCCTGGTGGCCATCGGCATCGCCACCCAGGTGGTTTCCACAAAACCCCGAGACGACTACCTTGCAAGCATGGGAGACATGGAGGAGGGAGTCGAGGGTCTCGGAGGATCCGAGAAAAAGTTACCACCACTTGTGAAGAGTGGTTCATACAAGCTCGGAGAGGTCTATCGGCAGTTTGCCGATGAGTCCTCAAGGGTGAAGCGGCCCGTCCTCCTGATGGGTGAGCTGCTGGCGGGTCGGCCGGGCTCCGGAACAGTGGAGCGCGCCACGTCTTTGGCTACGCTCTTGTGGTGCCCTCAGCTGCCGAAGTTATCAGACCTTCACATGATTGCTCACACCTTAGCTCGGAGTCTCTTAGGCTTTCCGCTATGTCAGCCAAGAAGAGCAACGGGAAGCCCAGGCCTCTCGCCTCGATCGCAAAGCTTTAAATTCTCCTTTGGAGTCGCCTCGCATGAGCCCCCACTGCTCAGGTTCGAGTCCATCACGGCGGTGGTTTTGCAAGACGACGTACAAGCTGTCGAGCGGCTTCTCAGGCTCAACGAGGAAACGGCAAATGTCCGTGAACCAGATCGACCCTATCTCTTCTTTGGCGGTCGATCGGTTCTCCGGTTTGTGCGAGATGATCCCGAGTTCCAGGAGCGATTCCTACCGCCCAGCGAAAGCCGAACTCAGTGTAGATTCGCAGTTTATGGGCCCGGACTGCATGTGACATACTCGGAGTAGCTTGTTGACAGCCCTTGGAGGAGTTGATTCTGGTGCCCGCACAGAAGACCTATGTGGACTCTTCCGACCTGGATCCCCTCGCAGCCAAGACCCTTGCAGAGAACAACTCTCCAGGTGGACGAAGGGCATGTACCACCATATGGGTCCAGAATGGATCAGTTGTGTTGCGTCGGCGCATCTCGCAGGAACGAAGATCAGTCATGAGTCATGTTTGGGAATAAGCAGCTCTAGCCTAAACTTTGCATGCTCTCAGCCCTTGGCCGATACCTCGGCTTGTCAGCAGCAGTCCCGTAAATAGCGGGAAAGGCCGCTGAACGTCAGGTCTTTTCATCTTCGACATTACTCGTGAGCAATGGGCGGAGCAGAAGGCACCGGCCCAGAGTGCCTTTTTGGCACTTGAGGAGAAGTCTTATTGGTTATGTAGGGGCCTAAATAATTACCAATCCTATTTTGTGGGCTCTTTGTAATAATTATACCGAAACTCTAGCCAAATTCTTAAAGCCCTACAGTATGGGGTTTATGGCTTTTGCAAGTCTGGCATCCTCGGCAAACATGCTGTTAGTAAAGACCGTACGTGACGAGCGGCCGGCTGAAGCGCTGTTGACATTAAGGCAAGGGTGGACTGCTCCTAGCTCTCAACCCTGGCAAAGCAAAGCAGAGAGAGAGTGTGAGAGTGAGTGCGAGCCCAGAAACACGGAGCAGATCGTGCCGTTGATGCCACAGTCATGAGAGACCCCAAAAGCCGGCCGCTTAATAAACCAACAGCGGTCGGGCGGGCCAAGCAGGCAGCCTGCGGGTCACGACGTGACCCCTAAGCCCGGCAGAAAGAAAGAGAGAGAGCGAGAGAGCACGAGCCCCAGTTGCGAGCGAGCGAGCGAGAGCGTGCTCTTGTCATTGTGTCCTTTTTGCATGCACATCCCCGCCCACACTCATTTCGATTACGTGTACGGTCGTCCCACATAGCCTTGTTGTTATCATTTTGCCGGCACACGAAACCCAGAGCATCATCCTACACACGAGCCGAACCTGCTTGAAGTCCTGTGGACATTTGGCAAAGTGTTGTGTTGTTTGGCTTGTTGGACCCACAGAGCAGAACATGGCTATGCTAAGGTATTTATAGTTGCATGTACGTAGGCACAAGAGTATGTACCTAGGTATGTAGGTGCATATCTATGTCTGTATGTCTGCATGATTCGGGTTGATGGCATGGCGGCGAGGTCCCGACATTCTTTCGGATGAGGATGCGAAGGAGATCTTGAATCTCGGCCGAGCACTTTGGAAATCCTGAGCCTGAAACATGGAACGTTGATCGGGTGGTTAGTAGTGCTGATGGGGGTAAGCATTGGTGGTAGGTGGTGAATCCCGCTGTGAGCTAGCCGGCACCTGTGCCTCAGCCTGACACGCATTCTGGACCATCCTTGAGGCGGTATGGAAAAGACGCGTCAAAAAAAAAAAGAAAACATGGAACGTTGTACCTTCGACTCAACCCGTGAGCCATCCATCAATACCGTGACGTTTCCCAAAGACCTGAGCAGACGAAGGCCAGACCTCTTTAGACCACTTCCCTGCTGCTTTTGTCCGGCTGCGGATCACGAGGCAGCTGTCGCCAGACCCCGCAAAGGCTGCAGCGGAGTGAGAACTTCGCCATGACAGCTTCCGGGTCGGTGGGATCTGAAGAGGCGGTCCTTTGTTCGGGCCGCGGACAGCTTTCGCCGACAGAATCGCTTTCTTACCGGTTCCAAACTTGTCGGAAAGGCTGGCGGGGAGTGCGTTGATAAAAACTAGACACTATTCATCGACGTTCGTTGGTGCTTTTGGTTTCGCAACAGTTTTCAGTGAGGGATGAATTCAGATTCGACACCTGCACGCCACACCTGTCGGCAAGTTGCCACAAGGTTTCACGGCACGTTTTCCTTGGCCTTTGCAGAGGCCTTCATCGTTTTGGCGTAAAGCGGATCACTAGCGAGCTGGGGGCTCAGGCCCAGCCTATCTTGGGCAGCTGCATCCGCTGGTGGATGAGGTCTGAGAAAAGGGGTAGATTCGGCCCTTCCCCCAGGTCATGACACCGTACTCTAACCTTGCCAACCCGCTCTGCATGCAGAACCTGTCGACAGAACTACCTTTTGGGAGATTTTGGATGTCTGAATTGATGAACGATTTATATGGAATCGCGCGATGAAGTCCTCGAGCTTGATCAGGGGTAGGCGATCAAAGCTGGTTGCGTGTGCCTCATCTCCATTCTATCAGCTCGCCACTTTCAGGCTTCTGTCCAGACATCTAGAGATCCGATTTCCGTCGCTGGCCGGAAATCGTGAGGGGTACCTGCTGCAGCAGGGAAGCCTCGTTGGGTCGTCGTAGGTCGGCATAATGTAAGGAACACTTTCCACCAACGGCTTGCCATTTTTCATCGGTTGGGGGCAGTGTGTGCTGGACCTGATTCCCACCCAGCCCGTGCCCAAACGCGGCCCTTGGGCTTGTCAAGGACAAGTCAACCTGCAATCAAGCTAAGTAGCGGAATCAGGTCCCGTGCGCCTTCGAGACCTCAAATTGGTGCGGGGACAGAGTCTCGAGCGTGCTCGGAGTGTTGTAAGGGATGGTGCAAGTTCAGATATATCGAAGTGCGGCAACACTAGTCACTAGCCATCATCATGTTCTGGTAAGATTGCATTTGCAACACGTAAGGCGAACTTTCAAACCAATGAGTCTACCCTTGGTATGTGCCGACAGATCACATTGCGTTTATATGTATACATGCATACATGTATGTATGTACATACAGCTGGGTAGATCCATGTCCTCCTGCATGTTTCCTGGTTTCGAAATTGGCTTCATTTTTGACTGGGGTTTCATAGGGGACACCGGGCAGCATGCACTGGGTCAATGGGCTTCTAGCCTTGTGAAGACCAGCCTTGTTGGGCAAATACAATAAACAACACATTGGGTTGTTTGGAATGTGGGTTATCGGTCAAAAGCGCAGCGTGCGCTCAGATGCATCCCTTGCGGCCCTGTTGTTTCGACATGCGCGTCTGCTGATACCCGATTGCATGTCGCTCGTACTGAAGAAGATCTTCCGTGGGCTGGGGTCTACGAGTTCAAAATTTGCTACTTGCCCGTTGTTTTTGTTGCATGTCTATCTACCTGTCCTGGCGGTCAACGGGCAACATCGCCGACTACGTTTCGATTTCGTACTGGGTCGCTGTGAGAGTGTGCCTTTTGCACTGTCGCAGCACCCCGAAAACCTTACATGGGGTTTGTGGCTTGTGGCTTCGACATGTTGTGTGTACATATAGGCGTGCAGGGGCGCACACGAGTACATCACAGCCATTGTTATTTCTAGCCATGAGTTCTCCCGGTGTAGAAATACCGGGTCTCAGTTGTGAATTGGGGAGGTGTGACGGTTAATTGAGGTTCGATGAAGCCGTTCTTCAAGTGAGTGGTCTACGTTTGAAAGACCCACTAGCAAGACCAACTTCGCGTGTCCGTGAACCCGGTGAAGTCAAAATCTCAGATCTTCCTGTTCGTTGCTTAGAGACGTCCTCAGGCAAAGCCGAACAAGTCTGTGATCTGGTGCAAGATTTCTCGTTCGAAGTGTGGCTGATTTGAGGACAGGTTGGTGAAGGAATGCAGCACCGCAACGGACAAAGGTCTGCCCGTCTACCCAAGACATTTCGCCTTCCAGACCCCGTACCACCGACACCTATGCGCACACATTCAAGCATGCATATGAATATTTTGCACAAAAGCAAATGCAACGCAAATGGTTGCATAGATACATGCTTTGGGTTGGCGCTCAAGTTCGACTGGGGCACCTGCACTCGCCTGGCTCTCACGGCCCTGACTTTCATGATGGACAGGCTAGGAGGCAAAAAATTCGAAATTGGGTGATCCAGCCGAAGTTTGAGAAGACACATACTCACCCTTGGTCTAGATGCTCAAAGCGCCGGCTATCGCTTCATGCGGGAGCATGGTCCGCGGGCTAACAGTTGGAACCAGCTCATGGAGTGGACAGATACAAAAAGTTCACGAAGCAGGCTGTCCATTCGAGAGTTGACGAGAAAACACCGTCATCATCGCACTCCACAGCTACCCACGCAGGAGACAAAACGCCGCGACTTTGGAGTATTGGCTTCTCGCCTTGAAGAGCTACCCTGTGGAATCTTGTGCACATGCTGGACTCCATTCGTCAAGATAGCATCACCTGGATTGAGAAAACCCGCGCAGGTAAGAGCCTCGGCTCCAAAACTGCGGGTTTTTTTGCCACTCGAAGTATGAACTCGAGCAAGCCGCTCGGGATGACCGTGCGCCCGCTATTGTAGCAGCGGCGCACTTGGGTTTTTCTGTTCCGAGCCGGTATCCAAATTCAATCGTACTATCTTCGACGATGGCATGTTGCAAAAGATGGATGCTTCGTTCCCCGAGCCGTTGTTGAATGCATCGCAATCTCGCTCGACATGTGTGCTGCATATGCATCAGCCGCTGTCAAATTTTTGTTGCCAGATGCTTGTATTATCAGATGCTTGTGCGCCGTCACTGAAGCAAGATCAGCAGTGGCTTCTCAGAAGTTATTTGCGGCGGTATTCTGGCCTATGTCTTCAATTGAAACAAAATGTAATATGCCTAGAGGAGCAGGCATGTACGGCGGCGGAACCGTATGTAAACGCATTTATTGAAGGTTACATGGACCAGTATGTGCATGTATGATGAAGGACATGCCGCCGTGTGGGCACGCTCTCGCATATTTTGGGCAGGGTGTGGGACGGCAAGCATGCAACAACTCATGCGACCAAATACAGCAACATGCAAGAACCAGGTTTCTGGGAAATCGTACATGAGAATATCAGTCTCGTCCGCGTGCGCACCCCAATTTCGGCATCTGCTGGCGTCTCGCAAATTCTTCGAAAATCAACGTGAAGTTTGTTTCGTGGCCGCATGGTGAACCCAAAGATTTGGTTGCACCTGCCGAAAAGCCCATATTTTCACGCCTACAGGAAAGACAGAGGGGTGGTCACAGGTCGTTTTTCACCAGTGGTTGGGGAGGTATCCGGCTTACCTCAAGACTGGTCGGTCGCCGGCGTTTCGGCAGTGACGAGCATCGACAGCAAAGATCGTTTGTTGCTTGGGTGTCAGAGACGGTGGCAGGCGATGGCACCGTCCCCGCCCTTCTTCAGAAAACCAGCCAGTAAACCAGCCAGTGACTAGCACGACTATTAACTGTATTGGTTATGTTATCGGATCTTCCAGCAATGTTATTCCACAATAACCTTGTATGTTCAATTATTCCAACATGAACTCACGAAACAGCCTTTATGAAATATTCTACACACAGTATAGCCCATCTCACACTAGTTGCTTCGTCATTGTCATAAATGCTGTGTGTCGCTCAAACGGCTTCATCGAATAGTTGATTTCATCCCAATCAAAGGAACCAAAGGCATTTCTTTAATTGCGCGTGGAATTTGAATGTTTCGATGGAGTGCTTCGGGACTGCTTTGAACGAGGAATCGAGTATATCTGAACACGGCTGATATGTGTCGGTTTAACGGTTGGATCGAGTGTTTCGTTTCATCCATATGAAATACATTTCTATAACTGCACGTAGACGTTGACTATTTCGATGGGGTAAAGTTTTTGAAAAGAGCTTATAGAGGCAATGCGTGATGGTCTTGACGCAACATAAAGGATTGGGTGGAAAAGGGATCAATGTTGTTCGCGACAAGAACGTCGGTGTGCCTGGAACAAGCAACATGTTCTCTAAACGATAACCACCACGAGCGCTTCATGGAAGAGAAAAATTGCGGCAGATGGAAATGCCAGCTGGGTTATTCTGGAGCGATGCTTTGCTGTCGTGGTAGGCATGAGCAAGGACGGCAAAAAGAGATCCAGAAACAGTTGAGCAGCACGGTCGAAATCGTTGTACTTGGTATTTGGTGGGTGCACGGCAGCAGCTAAAGGTCTGTGAGCGTATTCGGCTATGAACACACGGGTCTTGTGAAACACGATTTCTTTGACCGACCCCAACCTAATTTCAATAGCAGGCTCAAGGCGTGGTCAAAGCTTCGCGCATTTTGAGCACACGCGAAGTGGATAAGTCGTTTATGTCAACGCTTGGTGGTTGGCGATACCTGATTGATGTCAGCCTAAAACGCCACTCGTTCAAAAACAAATGTGAAAGAACATGAAAAACCTGTGTTGCACTGCTTCGCCACGCTGGCATGCACGGCTAAACAATTTGGAAATAAGAGCCATTAAGAGCCGTAGTTGCTGGTTTGCCTGTCCACGAATGTATGGACACGGGGTTTGGCTTTGACTCGGGAGTGTACTTGCGCAGCACGATGTGTGTGCTGGCGGTAATGGGGAAGATGCAACATGCAGAGGTTGGCAGGGACGCACCCATATATGCATGCTTGCACAAAGACATACATCGGTACACACTCACACAAGCACGCAACGGCAGCACGCGCGAATTGCGTTGGCGACCTATACTTCCATGTCAGCAGGCACCATTTCCTGCGATTTTTGTGCAAGGAGGTATAGTAACACAGAGTTCAGTGAAGCTTTTTATGACATCAGTGACAGCAGGATTGGTAACATGACCCCGACAAGAAGAATCACGCTTGTCTCCGTCGCACGATGGCCCGAAACCATCCAACAACACTCCGTGGCTGCTCTTCAGCCAGACCCGGGAGCTTCTCTGGAAAACAGTTGCTGCGCGTCCGTTTTGGTGCTTTTGCTTTCGTAGTAATTATTTTGGTTTTGGTATTTTTTTGTCTTCGGTGTATGATCTTTGTATGCCTTTCGAACATGAGACATCGCCTTCCCGAAGGTACCCTATGAAGTGCACGTTTGCATTGCATGGGGCATCGTGCTTCGCTTTCAGATTTCAGTCCATTGGAGGCCACGGTGTGGTTCAAGCCACCATCACGACCACACCGAATCTCCCAAGAGCTGCCTTAAGTCTTGGGTGCTAGTTGTGAAGATTCTTGCGGCACCACTGGCGAACCTGTGCCGATGCATTAGCGCAGACGGTGGGCAATAGTCTTCTCTTCGAGACCCTGGCTTTTGAAGATCGGAGGGTCGCACAGGTCTGTTTCTGCATAGTACACCGACGGCAGGCATTCCACAACCCATAAGCGAAAACCTATCCAAGCAATCGTGAGCGATCGTGTCCTTATGCAATTTGACAGCTTGCATTTGGCATCAGCTGTTCTCAGTTCGGAAACCCGAAAGCCTTTCTGTCCATTTGGTTAATTCATGCTCTTCAGGACCTCACGTCTCCGTATCATAGCGTCTTAAGAGTACTAAGAGTTGATGTTGCGCTGTGCCGAGAGGCTTAGAGTTTGCCGGCGCCTCATCGCACGGGCCTCGGTTTCAAGGTGTCCGTCCGTGCATGGGTGTGCGGCTCGGGAGCTCCAGGGGCTGAGCGTTGAGTGGCATACGGTGTTTGCTCACGTAGATGCCTATTTCCACGGCAGGGCGCGAGCACAGCCTTATGGTCTGAGCACGTGAAAATGCTTTGTGTCACGGCCAAGACCCGCCTTCAAGCCATAATCAGGTGTTCCATTCCTCGGGTTACAACCCGCACAACCGTCTGGTAGACATTGGTAGGCTGGTCCTACTGTGTTCAGTTCCGTGTTCATGACTATTCTATGATGATCCACTATTCTTCTCACGGTGTGCTGACCCCACCAGGTACTGGAAAGCTCGTGCCGCTGAATCCTTGTGCGGTGAGCTCGTCCGCAGCTGAGTGCCGCATTGTGCATTCATTGGGGTGAAGTCCGCAGTCCTGTAATCCGAAGCTGTTGCTCTCGTTACCCTGAAATGACCGCACACGCAAACATACACACACAGTGCCATTCATCCACAAGCCCCTGCCGTAAGATTGTCTACCTTTGTCAGGTCGCGGGTGCTTCGGTGTCGGAGGGCGAGTTGCTGCTGCTCCCTTTGGACGAGGACTGTCCATGAGGGCCCTTTATCAAGCATCCTCTTTGCGCCTCCGAGAGCATTGCCGTATGCAGCTGCAGATTTGCTCATAAGTCATTTGATGCATTTCTCCAAGAAGTGCTTGCGAGTTTACGCCATTACTTCGTTTGCATTCCCCACATCGTCTCACTTATGTCCGCCAGTCCTCCAAGCCCATCATATCTCCTGAATCTCGACAACAAGAACCCGAGACCCGAACAGATCCTGGCCCAGGATCCAAGTGCCTTTGCCTTGGCCGCATGGGTCGAAACCGAGGTCCGGCGACAGGTCCGGCAAGCGAGTTCATGTCATCTTGAGCCTGATGATGGTATAATGAGTTCAATGTTAACTAGCGTACATCGAAAACAGCACGCCTGACCTCAGGATGGTGCTGTTCTCGCCGCGCTTTCTGGAGAGCTCGTTAGACCTGCGACTGCGACAGACACGAAAAAGCCCAAAGGATTCTTTTCAAAGGTCGGTGAGTCTTTGCCCGGAATTTGTTTGAATTTCTGTGTGGAGCTCTAGTCAATGCACCTCAGTTGTTCGGAACTCGGAAAAAACAGTGAAGGGGAGGTTAAGTACCATGTGCCCCAGATGCAGGAAGACCTGTGCCTGGTTGCTTCTGTATAACAAAGTATCCGTAGGCACCCACCCTTGAGGACAGCATCCTACAGTCTTACACCTCAAAACAGAGTTGTTCTTCAGAGTCGCTTCATTTTTGGCTTCGTCCCCGAAGTCGGATGACGCAAAGTCGCAGGGCCGAGTCCATGTGGATGTTTGGGTGTGGCCCTGAAGCTTACGGCTGAGCCGAAGACATGGCATGGCGGTTGACTCATTTGAGTAGCAGAGTGTTCGCCAACCCTTCACAGGTTGTCGGGTCGAAATCACCTGTTCCGCCCTGAATCACTGAAGCCCAGAAGTCCGCCGCACTGTCGTGCGCCATGTAGCCGGCATGCACCCAGAAAGCAGGGCCGACAGCCCTGCAGCCAGTCCAGATGTCCGCCAGTTTCTGCAAGGCCTGGTGTCAATGGTGTCTTCGGTTATAAGACCTGAGTGGAAGCACAGATCATTGCTGATTTGGGTCCTTGATTAGTCTGGGATCTTCGGATCTGCGGCTGCAGCGAAGATCTCTCGACTTCCAGACTTTCCTGCTGCTGCATGCGACTCACTGCACGAGGACAGGCTAAAGTCCCCACAGTCGATCTCAGCACTTGAGAAAGGCTGGCCAAAGCCCGATGGCCTAAACCGTGCAAGGCGTCATCCACCGACGGTCCTCGTCCTGGAGCCGGCCTGGCTTGATTGAGGCTCTCGCTTTGGTCTGTCAGGACTACTTCGCGCACCGGGGTAGTGCCTTGACCAGCGCCAGCAACTAGTTTAGCCTGGCGGTTGGGTTTAGGCCTTCGGGTTGTGGAGTTCAGTGCAGGCAGGTGTTAATTACCGGAATGGCGGAATGTGCACGTACCTTGGTCAGTGGTCGGAAAGCGGATGCTTGCATTGCACTTCGTGGTATCGCTTTCGGGCGCAGGCTTCTGGGATTTGAGAATCGGCCGCCGTCGTTAATTTCCGCAAAGACTTCGTTTCGCTCATGTGTCAAGGCTTTGGCGTGAAATATGATGGTAGGAAGGGCTGTGTTGTAGCAGCTATTTAAGCTTAGCAAGCATCCGCGTGCTCGCAGCATGTGCTCAGCATGGCCAGCGAGAGCAGGCTTGAGGCAGTTTGTTCATCCTGTTCAAAACCCACCCGCATCAGACAACTGGTTTTGATCCGTGGTTCCTTCCCATTAACCGTGGCTCTTGAACCAGCACATCACGCAAAGGTATGGTCGTCCGGGCCGGAGACGCCCTCCCAGGAGTGCTAATCATCGCCAAGGGCTCTCTGCGCGTGGAGGCCCTGGGCGACGTTGTTGAAGCCTGGACAGAACACATGGTGCGGGTTCGCAGATTCGGAGGACTGAAGGTTGGCTTTGTGTTTGGAACTGTTGAAGATCCGAATCTGAATTTTCGGGTTGATGTTGCATTTGAATCCCTTGTGTGGTTTTTGTCCACTCGCCCCCTGCTTCTTTGGGGGTCGCTTCGTCGAGCTCTAAACAGTGCAGTCATATCTTGTCATCAGCACCATCACGACGGGTACGGAGGCGGTGTCGAGGCTACCAGTGGCAGGATCTAAAGTCACGGGAAAAGTGCGTGGATTGTCGGAGTGACATCGGAGTCGTGCATTTAGATCCTTCAGCCGATTTTCACGACTCAAGGTGCATCCGCCACAAAATCAAATGAAAGAACATCTCTTCCACCCTGAACAGACACAGTCTCAGTCAGACACTCGCGCCACTATCAAGCAAACTAAACCCAAGTCCAAGGAGGGCAAAGGATCCGAAAGGATCCCTGTGGGACAGCTCGGAGAGGGCGACTCCCTCGGAACGTTGGGCTTCCTCCGCAAGGATTTTCGGGTTTAGGGTTTAAGGCCGTTTAGGGTTGAGAGGTTAGGTATGTGGTTTAGGCTAATTTAGGGGTACATGGCTGAGGGTTTAGGGGTTTAAGATGGTCTTGAGCTCCCCGATCGTTTTCGGAGCAAACTGGAGTTTTGTTTTTTTGCTAAATGGTTCGAGGGGGAGGAGTAGATTTACTCTGCAACCGTATCAGAACCAGCGATTAGAAGCAATCATCAGAATGGTATGCAACTTGGGTTCAGGGTACAAGTTGTCAGAGTTGTTGAAGCTTCGGTGCTTGCCGCGGGTTTTGAATTTTGACTGGAGCTGGCAGGCTTGAGAAACATGATCCTCGAGTAGCCGAGCGCGGCCCCTAAGGTATAGAACTGTTCGAGACCCCTTGTTTTTGTTTGGTGGACGTCTGGAACTTGTGAGAACTTTCGGGGCCTTTTTGTGTAGAGGCTGCACTTACCACACTCTGCCCGAGGCTCTGAAGCCAGAGTTGGGAGCCGGGAGTTATCGGAGATGATTGGGATCGCTTCTTGGGGTCTTGCAGAGGTTCCCTGTTTTACGCAGAAGAGCATTTAAAAGGTTGGATTCAGGATTAGGCAGTTTGGCAGTTTTTTTCGATTGTCTGGGTCTGGATTGTTTACAGCATGTTACGGTACGACCCACCGCTCTCGGCATTTTGTCAGTCTAAGTCAGCAAAGTCGCTTTTCTGACACCTCGCTGCAGGAGCTGTCAAAGTTCTCCTTCCAGGTGACCTCGAGATACCTGCGTGGCTTCCTTCTCCCCTCAGCAGCGGTGAGCCCAAAGCGTCTTGTCGTGCTATGCGCATGATCACGCATGCCACGTAAATGATCTCCGGAAGTCAGGATCCGACAGCCCACTGCAACATCCATCATCCCGCTTTGGCAGCAGATTCTAGTCAACAACGAGACGCATCCCCTCCGCTTGTCTACAGAACCCTGCTTCGGTGAGGATCTCTCATTCTACTGCAAACTGCAAAATGTGGCAGCGCTTGTCAAGGTTGGTTTCTCTGCTGAACGCAGTCTTCCTCCCCGAGGAGCTGGAAGACGATGAGAGGTTCAGCTGCAGCATCATGCACTTCACACGCTGCTCAGAAGCGAGCCACCCGAGCTCTGAAGCTCGGAATGACGACTCCGAGGTTTCAGATGACTTTCTTGGAGGACCTGGCTCGGAGAGTGGCCCTGGCAGAGGAGGATCGGCTGATACCCTCCGACGTAGGGATACGTGCGCCTTGTTCGCATGTCAAACGTAGGTGCATGGTTGTGTTTTGCCAGGTTTCGAAGGAGGCTTTCGATTCTGCTTCTTTTGGGTTCATGTCTCAGCTGGTTCTTGTTCTGAAAGCCTTGAGTCTGTGGCACTTCACCGGTTTCTGTTGCAAAAGTGGTGGTGGAGAGGGGGGAGGAGGCACGGGGTAGGGGCGAGGAATAACGGAAGAAGCAGGGCGAGGAATAGCGAAAGAATCAGGTGAAAGACGAACGACTATAGTACAACAAGGTCAGCCGGATGCAGCCAGAGATGGTGCTGACCATGGTGAACGCAGTGTCAATGAGGATGACGGTGGCAATGACACATGCAGTCGCAGTAGCAAGTGCTGCGACGACGAGGACCAAGCTGAACATGATTGTGAGTGCCTTCGATGCTGCTTAGTAGCTTTAAAGCAACTTGAATAACTTCCTTTGCGACGACAGCGACGACGATGGCGAAGAGGGATGAGGAGGACGAGGGCGAGGGCTAGCGTGAGGGTGAGGACGAGTGACGAGCACGAGGAGGAGGAAGAGGAGCGGGAGCAGAAGATGGGGCAGGGGAAGGGCCAACGATGCCCAGGAGTTTGAATTCTGCAAAGGCTGCAGTTTTCGACCTTAAGGATTGATTCTTCCACGCCAGCTTAGGAACGTTACCTCATCCCACCGCATCTTCAGTGACTGGGCGCAGCAGTTCCGATTTCCTGATTCAGGTCGTTGAAAGAGTAAGCTCTCCGACAGGCGCTACAGTTGCAGTATGGTTGGGGCTACGGTATCAAAGCCTTGAAACTAAGACGCTGCTAACCGCGCAGACTTCGAGAGCAATAGGAGCTTCGGTGTTCGAAGGTTCTGGGTCTCGACCCTGTTCACAATAGAGATGGACATCTGGCTAAGGCTGCTCTTCTAGAATTGTGTTCTATGGTTCCTTGAACAGTAATTAACCCCTAGAAGCTTTCAACATCAAACCAACAGGAGCATCTCAGACTTGCTGATTAGTAAGAACAGTAGTTAATACTGTTATTATGATGACAGTAAAAATGGTTGTAATCATAAGCGTAATGAGCATAGCAATCACAGCGAAAAGTATTGTAACAAGACGAACAACAAAACTGCAATAACCAGAACATCAACAACAAGGATAAATACAGTAGTAGCCTCTGTCGCAACCCATTTTTTCTATCTGCACTATCAGAATAGCAACCCTCGCAGGATCCCGAAAAAATAGCCCCACACCAAGGATGAGATGCCTTCCCGACCTGGTGGAACAGGCGGCGCGACGGCGCTCTCCGCCGCCCGCAAGGGTGGAGAAGAAGCTTCAGGAGGAGCTGAAACCCAAAGCCCTGTACTTGTATATAATACAAAATATATAATTGTAAATAAGTGTAAGTAATTAAATAAATAGAACATAGATATTATATACATATATATATATATAATATTAGATCGGCGGATTGGATTGGATCGGACCGTAGAGCCGTCGTTACGGCGCGCCCCAAAACTCATGCATTAAATTCTATGGGCGGATATATATATATATATATATGTATTTTTATGTCGTCTTCTAAGTTGCTTTGTTCTTGTAGACTTGGGCTGCTTGATCGCAGCGGTTCGGCGGAGTCACAGCCAGGGGTTGAAGTGCAGTTGCTCATATCCTGTTTTGACAATGACAACGTTTATAGTTCAGCGTTTGCAGCATCCACGCGCGTACTTGGCTACGAGATTTTGATTCCGCGATGATGCTCAGACTAGCTGCTAAACATGGATAAGAAGGTTGCAGGAATTGATCTTCCGAGTGGCAGCTGATACCATGCTCCAACTGTTAAGGATTGACAGTTTAGGAGTTTGCGGCAGGGTATTGCCCAAAGGAGACTTTGCTAAACCCCGAGCAGATGCTTGAGCTGGGAAGGTTCAACGCGAGAAGCGACAGCAGCTTCAACGCGAGAAGAGGGAGCGGCAGCACCAGAGTCAAGATGAGGACCTACAGCCGTGGAACGGGTTTTCGGAGTTACTGTTGCATTTCTGGAGCCGAAATGATGATCAGCTGTGTTTCCTTATGTTTCCTTGCAGCACCTGCAGTGTGAACATTTTCTAGACATGATTCACACTTGAACACCGTACTTCCGGCTTGACAGGTCGGGGTTCAGCATCTCAACATCTGACTGCCTCTATGTCTGGAATGTTTGCTACGTGCCGATATTGACCGCGGCTGTCACCATAGCCAGGGCTATTGCCACCACTGACTGCTACGAATAGTACTTTGACAATGTTTGCTGTTGCAGTTCTCGGAATGGTTTGTTCAAGGCATTCTGATTTCAAGGAGCTCTTCGATAAATCGCACAGGGCATTGCCATCCCCAAATCTGTAAAGACCTCCAATTGCTCGCAGGCTGTCAGGGTTCAATGCAGCACTCACCTGTATCGCAAGTAGATGAGATTCCTTATCCCAACAGTCTATGTTGGCATCTACACGCTGTGTACACTCGGTGTTGTATAGAGCGTGCACACATCGCTTTCCGCTTCTTCATCTATGTGTTTCAACAGTTTGGGTGGCGGCCCGGGACCCGAGAGCATATATGGCCATATATATATATATACGCATACACATGTATGTATGCATGTATGGTATGTGTGTATGTATGTATGTACGTACGTATGTATGTACATATGTATGTACATATATGTATATATGTATGTGTGTATGTATCTATATCTATATATATATATATACATATATATATATATAAACATATTAGGTACCCCCCCATTACTATGAGTATATATGTATATGCTTTATATTAATATATTAATATATGTGTATATATATATATATATATACATATACACAGATACTCATATTTATATTAGTACTAATATATGCCACAGACTTTCCTGGTTCCTCATTCACGGGCGGTCTGCTTCCGTCACCAACCCCCCTTCAGCATGGAAGGAGACCGTGCCCCTTCGGGCGGAAGCATCTCTGTCGGCTGCTGCACTGCGCGAGGGCTCCTTCAAGTACAGCCTCCCATCGCCTTTGGGCTCAAGGGCTTTGGGTTCTGGTCGGCCTGGTTTTGTGATGCCTTTGTTTCGGGAAATGGTGTGTGAGGGCGGCGGAAGTTAGAGGGGTTTCAACCTTCTGTGGGGCTTGGGGATTGGGTTGATTTGAAAGGTTGCAGATTTGAGCCTTGAGCGAGTCCCTCAAAGTGCTGGACGCGAAAGGTTCAGGTGGCCAAAGTCGCTCGAAACTGGGATCGTAAGCCACCAGCCCAGCTATCAACTCCCCACAGCGGCACAATGCCGACAAACAACACCTCCAATCAAAAAGTGTTGATAAACTTCTATGCTGATCCCGAAAAGCCTGGAAACCCAAATACTACGTCCTACCACCCCTCAACCAAAGGACATGCAGACCCAGTCATCATACGTAACTGCCGATGCTTGCACCATCGTCAACTCTATGATTCACGTTTCGTGCGTTTTTTCTGCACTTTCTCCAGTCCCGGAGTGCCGGAGGCTCATTGAGCTTGGTGAGGAAGCGGAAAGGCTCTACAGAAAAGGCCGGATGCTCGGTTAGATGTCACAGCAGTGCTTGGGGGTTACTTTAAATGTAGGGTTCGGGTGTGAGGCAGGTTCGGCTTTTGGACTAGGGGTTCCATGCGACGAAGATTTGCAGAGGGACGTTTCGCCTGGATGGCGCCACGTTGAAACCTCGTCCCATGGTGAAACTAAATCGGAATCCCAATACCCGGACAGCCATGATGGCCACCGTCAGATGCTGGTGCGCCAGAATTCGATCTATCAGCACCAACACGCGCCAACATGGCAGCTACATGATGCATGGTCGTATCGTAATCTTAGCAGCCCAAAAGCCACAGACCCGACTTGCCGTGCCCCAGATGGCATCAAGTTGTGAGGCAGTCACGACTTCACTACACCAGACAAGACACTGTGACACGACCATACCAAAAGCGGCGACAATGTCCTCTTTTGGAACCCCGTATACCTGTAGTATTCTATACCCCATCACCAGCCCTCTGCTCTTATTCTAAATCTATCTGCTACATCACATCTTCTGACTTCTGCTGGTTCTATTCTTCCTGCTCCTCGAGGTCGACCACGGCGTGAAAGACAGGAGCAGCCCTGGTTCGGCCGGAAGGGATTCTCGGCTGCCTGGGCTCCCCTTAAAGAGCTCTTAGGCTTGGTGGCTTCGTCGGGGTACAGGTATAGAGCCGTATAGAGTGGAGGTTAGGGCCCGCTTTAAGAGCGCTTAGGCCGAGGCCTATGATGTGAGAATGCTGCAGGTGCGGTTTTCATTCCCAAGTCTGCTGCTGATCCCAACGACTGGCGATGCAGCAAAGCCTTCCATTTCTGCAGAAATATGCCGGTGTGGCAGCCTGGGAAGTCGCTTGGCGCAGTCTTTGCAACGCAGCTTTGCTTGTTCTGTTTGTATGCCCCAACTCAGGTTGGAAGATTGGGAGATTATTGTGCCGACCGACGAGCAAGTTGCTGACTTTGACGCAATACAAGAACTTTGCGGAGAAGAGGTGAGCGCGGAAAGCTTCGAAAAGGGCCTGCGCAATCGAATGTCACGAATCGGCACTGTACTCAAGCAGGCTGGGCATTGGACGGGCGACTCATTGAATCTCGCTGCTCTCATTGAAGTGTAGTTGCTGTAACTCCGTCTGGGACGTCTCTGAAGTCATCTCCGCAGGCTCAGAACGCGATGAGCTCCGGCGTTCGGCAGTTGTACGGCCAGAAAGTTTCTGATGCGGAGAGCTTGGCAAAGGCGATGGACGGCAGCGGATGTGGCGTCGTGGATGCTTGTGCTTCGTCTCAATCCGTAGCAAAGTAGTGACGAGTGGAACTGAGGGGCTCATTGGGAGCTCATGTTTTTGTTTTGGGTTTGAGGCCTCCCTGGGGCATCATTTCTCCAATTTCCTGCCCCTAATCGCCCGATCGTTAGGACCTAAGACCTCTACTGGTGCCTCGTTGCTCCCTCATCGGCGCTTCCCTGTTGGACACCTCATCGGCCACAGATGGCATGCTTTTGGCTCAGTATCCAGCATTCCAGCTAAGTTCTCGTCAACACAGAATACAGGTTCACGTGCGACCCTCACCACCCCTAGCGCAGGCAGGATCTGGGTTTCGGGATCCAACCAACCGTTCACTGTAGTCTTCCTGCCAAACGAGGGAAGCAGAGAGAGAGAGAGAGAGACAGAGACAGAGACAGAGACAGAGAGAGAGTGAGAGAGAGAGAGTAGTCCCCTAATCAGTCGCGAGGGGGGGAGGGGTAATGACACTGCTCCCTTTGACTGTGTGGAAGAAGAGACAGAGCTTATTTCATTCGTAACCAAAACGAGCTCACTGTTTTTGAGAGAGATGGTTGAGTCAGCCTTGACCAGGGCAAGTCGTCGATGCCTTGACGCGCCTGCGAATAGCTGCGCCTAGCGATCACTTCGAGGAGTTGGCTTCTTGGCGCCAGATTACTTACCTTTGGTTAGTAGGGAAGTAGGGAATGGGGTACAATTATAGCTACTATTACTACCATATTCTTCCATTCCCTACTACCCAAAGGTAGGATTAGGGTTCAGGGTTAGTCATCTCGAAACCCTTCCCAACACTCCCCGAGTTTCGCCTCTGAAGGCTGTAGTCCCAAACCATGCCTACTTCGATCTCTCAAGTATGCATCTTTCTTGCAGATTACCACTGGCTCAGGGAGTCCTGATGTCCCTGTATGTGCCCCGGGCCTAGAAGCCGCATCCGAAGATTCTACTTGTATAAATGCTTCTACATACTACGATATGCTTTATCTTCACGCTACATTCCGTTTTAGCATAACATAACATGCTACTCCGTGACCTTCACTCGCTACCCGGTCCCGGTCTGTTTTCAAGTTCAGGTCAATGTCGTGGAGAGGGACGCTGCAGGGAGGATTCCTGTGGATACATTGAAGAGCCTTGGTGTGTAAGTTTCTGTTTCCATCTCTGGAGCCTACTGTAGCTTCAAAAAACATGGCCCTGTGCGAAGCTCAGCAGACTCAGAGCACTCGTTCTGCTATGTCCTGCCGTAGGGTTGCCGGCTATGGCGGACCGGTTTATCAGTAGTGTTTCGGCACAGTAACTTATGTTGCTGTGCGCAAATTCATATCCAAACGGGTGAGTCGTTGAATGAGGCAAGCCTTCATCGCACCCAAGCAGTATGTCAATTCGCAGCTTGGCATGCCTGAATCTTGTGCCGAACTTTGTGGCCAGGTGGAAGATGGCGCGGGCTTGCGTGTTCGTAATGCCATGATGAGGTGCTAGAATCGGCTTTATTTCTCAGTGCTTTTGATCCCCTGATGGTATCAGCCTTGCTGCATTCGAGTGTCGATGCTGTCTCTGACCTCCATTATTTCGTCAATGCACCAGGGCTTGCGTCTCGGCCAAGAGCAGGGCTAGGATATCCTGGCCAGACTAGAATGAGGCGAAGGAGGTTAGCTTTCTCAACAGCTGGGCACTGCACAGACTGTCGAGTGAGTCCGGGGATCTCAACTCCCAGGTTGGCTACCCGCTATCGAGAGCGCTTTGCACAGGTGACCGCCGGTAACCGTTTCGAAAGGTTCACTTGTTGGGCTTCTCAAACACGACGCCGTCTCTGACAACTCTCGCATGGATCCAATTGAGTTCACATAGTCGCAGCATAGTCATAGTCCGATAAGAGAACAGAGCCTGAAAACTGAGCTAACGTTGATGCCTGGCTGTTTTAAGGGTCCCCAAAGGGACTGCAGGATAGACTGACGCCCCGAGTTCACCAGGGAATCCCTGTCCACTTGTGGTGACGTGCATGAGTTGTGGCTTCAGGACTTTGCAAGTGAATGCAAGCAAACCATCATAGCAGAAGCTCTGGATAAAGATCCGCTGCTTCACGCCTGGACTTGTTTTGTCTGAGGCCACATAGTTCTTGCTATTGCCCCGCGTGCGTACCGTATACTTATAATTCTGGTACCAAAAACGATCAATGAAGCAATCCTTTGGCGATGATGGTGATGAGGATGATGAAGATGATGAAGATGATAAAGAGAAGAAGAAGGAGAGTCGCCTGATTCTATCTCTCCCCATCTCTCTGTCTCTCTTTCCCTCCTCCTGCTCCTGGAGCAGGTATCCGAGTTGAGGCGAAGTTCCTCGGCCTCGGCCTATCCCCGGATGCGGACCAACACTGCCGAGGCGGTTGCCTGCAAGCCACATCGGTGCAGGTTGTGAGACAAGGTTTAAAAGCCTCGCGATCGGCACGAAACCAGGGCCTTCTGGGCTGGTTTTGGACACCTGAAGCCCTTGCCAGCAGCCCTCAAACCTGAGACTCTGAACGACCATCGAGGGCGTCTGAGACTTCTCGCTCCTGGTGCCTTACAACGCAACATGTAAGCTGCAGCCTTCAAGAACTGGGCCACAGACATCGCGATGTCCTGTCATTGCTGCCTTCTGATATTAGAGCAAGAACGGGCCACACAGAGTTTGCTTGTTGGCGAGGTGCACTTTTTGTCGCGAACAGCGACCATCCTAAGTCTTGCAAATACATGCCACGGTGATGGTGGCGATGAGCATCGTGATGGCGATGGCAAACAATCGCTGGTGGCATCATGCCATATGATAGCGGCTGCGAACATCTTCCAGAGTCCATTCAGTAGAAGTAGTTGATGCCTCTGAATCCTGCATCTTGAACCACACATGCGCAGGTATCTGTGAGGAGCTCGCAGCCAATTACATCTGAATCTGACAGTCGCTTGACGGAGTTACGTTTTGGATGACTGTGCCTTCGGGTTGGGCCATAGGGGCTGACCGCTGTTGGGTTTTGCGGCGGTTTTGGCAAGTGCGAGCCCTTCAGCTGTTGACACTCTCTCCTGATGGGATCGAACATCATAGTTTTCACAGGGTTCGCTTGAATCATGACATGAAGATCGCGCAGCTGCCCGATTTTCGAGTGGCCGCTTGAGTGGTGCTTGCTGTGAAGCGCCCAGTAAAAGAACAGGACCTTCGTTTGGTTGACAGCTTTTGCCTGGCGCAAGGTGGCACAGACATTGCAGAGGACAGCGAGGAGGAAGTGATGTCACAGGCTGCTCAACGTGGGAAGATGCATCCCTGTGGCCTCAAGTTGTCATAAGTAGAATTTTCTGACAGAGACTCGTCGGAAGCATTAGTCTAAGCAGCCGTGCCAGGATATGGAGACCATAGAATTTCATAGGCCAGACCCACGTGCAAAGACCTTTCCAGCTTCTGTGAGTAAAGATCGTCTTGGTCTTGGGTGCTCCAGCCCAACGAGCAAGCAGAAGAGTGTTCAGTTTAGATTTTCCTTGCGGCCGAATGCTCTGTGGTCATGTCTCGGACATAGACGAGCGCATGAGAAATCAAGATGGTGACTTTCCGGGACAGGTGGGGCAAACGAGGCGTAGAGTGGCATGTAGCAGTCGCAGTTGCAGGGGCAGCAGTGAAGGGGGAAGCGCTGGCGGTGTTTGTGGTGGTGGTCCTCGTCGTCGTAGCAGCTGCAGCCGTAGCCGACGTTGCAGTCGCAGCAGTTGAGCAGTCGCCGTCGTCGTCGTCGTCGTCGTCGTCGTGTTGTAGTCATGCTCAAGTGCTATATACGCTGGATGAAGTCAGTCCTATGTCTCAAGCCAGGGCCCTGCCTTGGAAGCTTCCAAGTCGGTCTGCCTTGTGCCGCCTGGGAACTCGGAGCATCAGATTAGTGAGCAAATCAGCATATGTAGGGTTTAGGGTTCAGGGTTTAGGGGTTAGGTTTTGTCATAGTCACCATTGTAATGACATGACGAGGTAAATTATCCTTCAAGGCCATGTTGGGTTCGAGGCCATGGATTCAGATTTAGCTTCTTGCGGGTCCGCGCAGAGCCCATCACATAACTTGCAGCTCTTCGGATCTTGAGCAGATGAAGATGGTCTTATTTGGGTATTCCAGGAACGCCTTCTCCGATGTTGTCCGTCCTAGGTCAGTGATCGCTTGATGACCCCTGTATCTGTATGAAGCATGTCTTTGGAACATGCCGACATGCCCTGAAGTGCTCAAATCTCCTCATGGTCGGGTCAAGGTGTGCTGCCACAACCATGCGGATACCGTTGCCGTTGCAGCCGCTGCTCGGCACAGGTTCAGAGAGCCCTCCTCCTCCTCCTCCTCCTCCTCCTCCTCCATTCTAGCGGTGCTACTACTGTTCCTCCAGCTGCTGCAACTAAAAATTACTACTATGACGTCGAGGGCGACGACGACGACCCTATATACCACAACGAGCATTCAGACCATTTCGGCGGCTACAACCACGAAGACTGCTTCGACTGCCATGACGAATATGACGAGGGCGACGACTTCCACTTAGACGCTTAGAGCACCACCACTCCTGCCTCTTCATCTGCTGCTGCCGCTACTGCTATACAGTCAGATTCATAGTACTTGCCAACCACAGCGCTAGCAGATCGCTTTGTCATACTGCTAGTGGGAATGCAGCAGTGTCTGTGGAATGATTGTAGCAATTATTATGTGCACAGGTCTAGTTACGGCAGGAATCGAAATTCGGCCTGCAGTGGGAACACCGTAGTTGTGTAATTTTTTATGTGACACAGAAAAAGTGCGACCGCTGGCCGTGGCGATACCCGTGTCATCGCTCCTTGCTATTATGAGCAGTGAGCCAGAACAGCAGTAGTGACAAGAGCAACAACCTCAGCAGCGCTCACAGCTGCAACCAACTGACAAACAAGCAAGAACCACAATCACAACAAGTAACGTGGTTCTCATAAAGCCTTGTTGTGCTCGTCTTCACTCTCATCGTGAGCGGCAGCCAAACAGTGAAGAAGTAGTTGGAGAGCGATTCGGAAGCCACACAACTTGCCTCAGGATTGAGCTAAATGCCAGAGTGCTGGCCCCAGAGCTGCTGCAAGCTTTTGGAGGTCCAAGCTTGAAAGAAGGAGTTCTGTGCTCGAATGATTTAGAATTAAAAGGGCTTTCCAGCCCTTAGATTCAGGTTGGATTCACATTCCGTGTCTTGTGGCTGGGCTACTTTCGGAGCAAAAGGCAGTGCCATGAAACAGTTTGGGCTCTCTTCTTTGCCCTTTCTCGTTTCTTAGTGTTTTGGCGGAATGGCACTACCAATGCAGCAAGGTTATTGCCAGAGAGCCCCACCATAGCTTGGCGCTCGAAGTTCCTCCCCAGCGTTTTTCTTCTGAGCTGTGTGCTTCAGTCAACAGTAGATCCTGTAGCCGAGGGAAGAGAGTTCGTTCTCCTTCCCAAGACGCTGCAATGCCGGACCAGGCTTGCAAGCCGTTCCGACCGCGAAGTGCGAGTCTTTTCCTCAGAATCCGTGCGTGAAGCCGCAGGCTTTGACCTTGAGGGTTGCTTTCTCCGTGTTCAGAAAGGCGCGTAAAGTTGCAGTGTGATGGTTCGCTGTCGGACTGGTCGGCACGTTATTATCATCGGACACAACATGTCGCGACCCAGATAGCTAGACCTTCTGAGGCCATCGGTACATCCGGCCGAAAGCGTCTTGTAATGGATAGACTGACTTCAGACTGCTCTGCATACATGTTGCACAAGCTCCATAGCATTGTCATAGGTTGCAGTCGCCAGCTACACTCATATGCACAGGCACGTGGCAGGCTATACAGTTCTGCCAGAACCTTGAAAACAGACGGCGTGAGACGAGTTAGTCCGACGATAAGTGTGGGAGTCACGACGATGCATTGAACACGTGCACACTCCCGACATCCCAACATATAGTCATAAGCGCAAACTGCTTTGACCCTGAGGGGCTATCTGGACATCGCATGTGATTCATCTATTCGTATGCTTCATGCCGATGCTCAGATGGTTGCCATCGCTCCCGAAACCGCACCGACACGACATCTGCAAGCCTCAGCGCGGACCTAAGAGTGACTTGTACACTGAAGCCTTCTTTATTGACCTGTCTGTGAAAACACCATGGGCTTCGATTCACAGGTGCTTACCAGAAGGGCCACGCCTCGACTTTGGAGGGGGAACTTCGGCGGCCGCATACGGCTCCACGCGGGGGCCAGGGCGTGGATCTGGTGCATCTCCGACAGGAATGGCACCAGGCTCAGCAGAAGACACCCGCACGTCCTCCTTGGAGTGCGCGGCGGTGA